TCAAAAGGCATCTGGATGTGTACATGAATAGGAAGGATTGAGGGGGATTTGGACCAAATGCTGGCAAATGGGACCAGATTAATTTAGGATATCTGGTTCAGCATGGATGAAATGGACCAAAGGGTCTGTTTCCATGCTGTACAGCTCTATGACTCTGACTCAGTGCTATCAGCAACGTGCCACTGCTGATTGTGCTGTGTAATAAATAACTCAAATACCTGTTTTCAGGCTGTAAAACCTATATTAAGATTTACTCTCAATAGCTCACATTCTTACAAGAAAAATAGAATTAATTTTTTGAAAGACGACTAGATATGGAAAAGAATTTTGTTATATATTAATATATCTGAAAGTTACAATACAAATAGTAGCAATTGGCCTAAACAGCCTCTGCTTGCATTTACGCTCCATGTAAATAAAGAATCGGAATCATGTTTACCTACCATGCTCCTGTATCCCAAAGATCTTTATCGTTCTACTTTTGTTATTTACAGCAGTCACAAGTGCAAGATTGATGGATTGCCAGGAACTCTCTTAAAGTGGTCAGTTGAAATTGCATAAAGATGCAGCTAATAATTAACTACAGAATTATTGCAAACCAACCTTTTGAACTGTTCAATATATTGCACTTCCATTGTCCTGATACAATAAGGTGATCAACAATCTGTTGTACGAAGGCAAATGATGTGTTCAGTCCTCATGATACAGTGTACTGTGATAGCTGGACCAAGTCTTATGGAATGGGAAATGACACAATGGCCCAGATTTTCTTGCAAGAGTTCAGCAACCTAGACTAAAATTGTTGCTGTCTAGCATGCTGAGCTCACTACTGATATGTTCCCATGTATTTTAGTTACACATGCAAAGAGACAGAATGTACAACACAATGGTAGTGAATGGAAACCGGTTTATTCTTCAGTAGGAAAAGACATCAATCAAAGCAATTTTATATTAAACTTTGTTTTAATGCAAATCTGAAATATGGTACGCATCCGAAGTGCAACATGAATGAGCAGGCAGACATGAGAGAAGGGGCGGGTGCATGGGATAGGAGGGATGGTAAGACGGAGCTGAACATATACCCATTTTCCTCCTCCTCCCTTCCCAAAAATTTATTCATAGGACAGGCTGAAAGGCAATCCACTCCCAACTCTGTTTCCATGCGAATTTTGCGGAGGCCAGCTCGGAGTGTGCCTTGCCAGAGGTAAACTAAGGTCAGTATTAAGTAAACCCGACTCCTTTGTTCAACCCAGTTCCAATCCTCATCCCTGATGATCAGGACGGGCCATGCCTTTTCTGTTTTAACGTATGCACTTAGCCAAACAAATATGGGTTTTACAAGTTATGTTGGCCCTTTTTAAACAGTCATTTTTATTAATGACTCATTTAAATTATCTCTCTGATTGGAATTGTTTATCTTGCTGAAGCTCATGTTTACTGATCTGGAAAACCTTATCTTCCTGAAATTTTCCCTCAAGTGGAACGTTCCCTAAACTAAAAACGTTGGACAACCAGGAGTTAGAATCTAGACACTCTAGCTCAGTAAGTACACCAAGTCTATTCTCTAACTTCAATCATTTTGAGCCATTTAGAGTGAAGCTATCTATTGACTAGAAACATGTTATTGTCAGGTTACGAGAAGCATTGTGAAAAATGATAGGAATTCAGCAATTGTTATCGTTTTCAGGGCTAGGATAGGCTTTGAGAATTCACTTCCGCCAGCTGTGAACATGGGGTAATGGTAGAGCTACTTAAATGCTAAGGAAATTACGTGACACATTAGCCATACAAATCTGGGAATACAATGTTATTGCAATATTGGAGACCTGGCTCAAAGAAGGGAAGGACCAGGTGCTAAATATTCCTGGACCGAGGATATTCAGGAAAGACAGGGTAGGAAATTTGGGAAAGAAAATGGGAGAGGCAGAAGTGCTGGCTGAGAACGTAGCTGGAGAGAAAGGATGCCTTAAATGCCCAAGAACAAAATCTATGGTTAAAGTTAAGAAGGAACAAAGGTGCCATTACAGTACTGAACATATTCTACAGATGACCAAGTATTGGGAAAGATAACATAATATAGACCTGAATTGTAACAATATAAAAGGGAAGAGAACGTAGGACTACTAGGGAGATTGCTCTCTTATGATTGTTTAGTTTATTTATAATAACATGATCAAAACATATTCATCTACTAACCTATCATTACGTTATTTGGCCTAACTATAACTTTTGCAGACTATGACTTTCATATCATGTGACTCTGCTTAGGTTCACTTGACAAAGAAATACATCAAGGGATTTCACATGGTGACAATGCAAGTACTTTCAACCTTCAAGACTGAAGTGGCTCACATTCTCAGGCTCTGTGCTGTCAATAAAGGAAGGCTAGAAAGAAGGGAGAAGAAAACATAGCAGCTGCCTTTTACATCTGCTTTATTTTAGTATAAGGTGTTTCAGAAGAGAAGAAATTACATTTGACTAAAAGTAATTGTATCAGAGAAAACTTTGTAACAATATCCATTTAAGTTTGTGATGGTATAATCCTTTAGAATTCTATTACCCAAGACAATGTGGTGACTGAATGTATAAGAATATCTCACTACTTTTAAAGCTTTTAGAAGCAAAAAATTGGTACAAAAGTAACAGTCAAAGGCAAATCGTGTTTAACCAATTTGATTGAGTTTTTTGATGAAGCGACAGTGTTGAAGAGGGAAATGCAGTCAATGCATTTGGCCTTCCAAAAGGTCTGTGATAAGCTGCCTTGAAGTAGGTTTGTCCACAATATGGAGGCCCATGGAATAAGCAACATTGGCTAGAGTACAAAACTGGATGAGTTATAGGAAACAAAAGTAGTGCTGAGTGATTATTTTTCAGACTGGAGAATAGTTTTCTTTGGGGATCCCCCATGGTCAGTATTAGAAACACAACTTTTTTTTCCAATCTACATTAGTGAACTAGACTTGGTTACAAAGAGTAAAAATTTGAAATTTGTAGATGACAAAACTTGGAAGTATCGCAAAATGTGAGGAGAAGCTAGACTGATGAAATGGGAGAGATAAATGGCAGATTAAGTTGAACGCTGAGAAATGTTGGGGAGGTGATGGCCTAGTGGTATTATTGCCAGACTGTTAATCCAGAGACCCAGATAATGTTCTGGGGTCCTGGGTTCGAATCCTGCCAAGGCAGATGGAATTTGAATTCAATTTAAAAAAAAATCTAAAATTAAGGGTCCACTGATGAACATGAATCCATTGCTGATTGTCGGGAAAAACCCATCTGGTTCACTGACATTCTTTAGGGAAGGAAACTGCCATCCTTATCTGATCTGGCCTACATGTGATTCAAGACCCACAGCGATGTGGTTGGCTCTTAACTGCCCTCTGGGCAATAAATGCTGCCTGGCCAGCAATGCCCTCATCCTGTGAATGAATTTTTAAAAAATGTTGAGTGACATGTTTGTAAGAATGAGGAGGGGCAACAGAAATTAAACAGTACAATCTTAAAGAGGGTTCAGGAACAACAAGAGCTGCAAAGGCAAATAAAGTGTTCTGCATGTTGAGTAAGTGTTCAGGAAGGCACGGCTAAGGTCATGATTTATCAGGCAGCTGTGATGCCCTTGCCCCAAATGCTTTGGAGATGTGCACAACCTACAACACGTACCCCAAATCACTGAAAAAGCACCACTGTCACTGCCTTCATAAGATCCTACTGATCCAGTGGCAACAAGAGGAGTGATCCACCATGAGTATCCTCTCTGAAACATGCCCATTATTGAGATGCTGATAACTCAAAATCAGCTTTGCTGGGCAGGACACATTATTTGTATAAATGACACCAGACTACTGTGGTACTGAAGAATGGGTTCCAATAACATTTAGCTACTGAATAAGGGCACAATATGTTTAAACCAGTGGTATAAGACAATGACAATTTTAGATCAAAGCATTGGCGCACACACTTCCTTCGGAAACCGTTTTCAAATGTAACAATAGAGGCAATAAAGCAAAGTTAAAAGAATTTCGATTGGGTAATTTAAGGGTTAGGAAAATAATAGGAATATGTAGAAGATGGATTTAAGTAAGGGACAAACTTGAAAACTGGGAACAGAACTTGGGGTTTTAGAACAGGCCATAGGGGGACTGTAACCAATTATTAGAAGGAGGCTGCTGTAAGGTTCTGTTTGCAAATCTGGGGCCACAGTCCACATACCAACCAACAGCACTCTCCTCTCATATAGTATTAATGCTGTTTTCCCCTTATCTTGGTATTTCTTGTGAATTGTCTTGATGAGCGCAAGACGAATAACTTTGACAAAATGAGCCTTTTCCCCAGCAATACTCAAGTTCTGCACAACTAGACGACTATTTCAAAATCTAATTCAATCTTGCATCATATAGTCACGTTAGAGGATAGGGGCAACGGTGTAACTAAACCTAAACGTGTTGGTATGATAAGGCAACAACATCCTCAAAAAGGTGCCTGTGGAACTAGTCAGAAAGATAGAACTTCGGTCAACAGAACAGCAAGAGATACATCCAGTCAAATTGATCATTGAAAGCCAGTGTTCCATTAAGAACTGACTGAATCCACTTCCCTTCTTGAGTATCATTTTTTGCATTTACTATGATAACTTCAATAAATTCTGTGAAACTTGTGAAAATAAACTTTTACCTGGAATGAGTCTTGTAACTAATTAAAATGAGTAAACCTTTAAATTGGCTTTTTACAAACTCAGTCTATAACTGTAACTGACCCCAAAACTGAACCCCAAAATCTCAATAATGTAAAACACAATCAAACTGGTAATTGAATTTATTTTGTTAACTGAATTTCACTGGTAGTTTACATGTAATGAATTAGATGCAGCAGATATCATTGAAGATCACAAAGGTAGGGCAATAGTATGGTGAAAAATAAGCTATTTGTCAACCATGATTAATTAATTGTAAAGCTAAGCATTGCTAGATTTGACTCTTTATGAATGACTAAAGCACACTTACTTCTCCCAAACTGTGGAGTTGTAGGGCCACTTCCCTCAGATCTTCTTCACTCACCAAGGGATTAATTTGATCCTGAACATCGTAAACGAATTGTTGCCATGACATAAACTGGTTGGGTCCATTTTGTTTTCTCCAGGAAGGCAGTGTAGAGATGATTTTCTCACAAATGAATGTCATGGGTAGACAAGTCTAAAGGAGTTCAAAACATTTACATTACCAGTCATGACTTTCTCCAATAATTGAACATTGCAGGTAGGCTTTAAAAATTATGCTGAAATAATTGTACCCAATATAGCAACTTCTACAAAGCCAGTTAAAATAGATGTTAACATACAAACTCTATAAAGTGTATTTTCCTAATGTTTTTGCCCTCAGAAGAGGTAGAACTTACAGTAGGTCACTAACCCTTCATCGGCAGTAGCCTTCAGATTTCCTGAAGGCACCATTTCCTTCACAAGCCAGTGAATTCTCCTGACTACTAATCAATGGGAGCATCACATTCTGTCTTCACATGATGTCTACTCAAGCATTTTCTAACAAGAATCAATGAACAACATTCTTCACATGATATCTACTCAAGCATTTTCTGACAAGAGTGAATGAACAACATTCAGGAACTGAACTGTCACTCCCTAGCCTAGTTTCTATTGCTCAGGACCATATGAAGTGGGGCATTTATACACCAAATTTAAGTGGACAGCATAATGAGGTACTTTATTAAAAATAAATTTCTAAATGATAAAGGCCTCTTTTGCTCCCCTTGTTCTTTCACGAATAAGCTGCTGATGCTTTTTGCACTAAAAGCAGCTTTAATTTTAAAATTAAAATGCTTAAAATATTACATGCACAGAATCCAAAAATGTTTTCAGAGCAGCCAAAGACATTAACAGTACCTTTTGTAGTGAACTCTAGTTGCTGAATACACTATCAACAATTAGCACACACTCACAGTCTAGGAAGACCCAGGGTGCAATGTCTGTCTCAAAAACAGAAGGTGCTGGAGAAGGGTCACTGGGAGAGAAACATTAACAGTGTTTCTCTCTACAGGTGCTGCTGGACCTGCTGAGTTTCTTCAACACTTTCTATTTTTGTTTCAGACTTCCAGCATCTGTAGTTATTTTGTCATTACATTATTGTGATGTCTGTCTGCACGGGAGTCTGGGAAATAACATTTATCCTCCCTAGCTGGGCTAAGGAAATGCAGGGTGGGAAAAATTAAACAGGACTCCATTACTACTGCTATCTAGTTATCCCTGCTAGAAAACTGGCAGGCAGCAAACATGCCAGGATCCTAGTTTTGAATTTGAAATCCCCTTGGTCAAACAGCTTTCTAACACTCACTTTGAACATACTGAGTGACACTGAAGCTAAATATTTGACCACCGAGTGCATCAAATTTGAATTTAATCACGACATAGGTAATTCTTGGAGTGTTTATAGATAATAAGAAAACACTATCTTCCACTTGCTAAACCAGGGTACTGAGTCCATTTGTGAAACCTTCTGGCCACTGACTAAGACCAACTCAATGTAGGCAGGAAAGGTCTCTGTGCACAATAAATTATTTACTCGTTGCTGAAATGTGGCTTATTATATAAGCAGATATGGCTCAAAGTTTGAAATTACTTCCACAGGTAACAGTTTAGTATTATAATCAATGCACAGGCATCCATATCAGCTACTGAAGCAGCCAAAAGAGAGATAATGAAAATGACAAGGCAGATTACAGACAGAAAAGTGCCAGAAAAGAGAGGAAACAAACAAGAGAAGACAAAGCAAGGGTAAATACCCAGTATTAAAAAGTAAAATATCAAGACTGAAAAAAGTTTTATGTGCAAGAAACAAAAAACACATCTTGCAAATAGTTTTATTGTGCCAATAATTACATGTCCAGACTTGTTTCCCTACAGAACAAATGGAAAAGAATAAAGGAAAATTGCTGGAAAGGTTTGCATGCAATAGTGAACACTGTAAAAGGATGTTTCTAAAGCAGCAGTAATAAAAGTTCAAAAATATATTTTATGAACTCCATGTGTGCCTGTTGATTTTTAACTAGGCTGCTGTAGAAAATATATTCAGATGGTAAAAATCTAAAGTTGAAGGGTCTGTGGAATCAAATAAAACCACGTCAGTATTTGCATACAACCTTTGGAACATGCTGACATTGTACTTGATTTTTAGTGCTGTATTCACATTCCTCTAATTGCAAATGGCACAAAACAAAAAATGTGGGTAACAAAACCAATTGATCAATGTGGTCTCACACTCGGTGTTTGTTGTAATGACAACAAATCAAAAACAGCTTTTAAATTGCTATCAGTAGAAAGTTTAAACTGCTGATTCTTGAAATTCAGATTATGGATGCTAACAAAAATTACAACATAAATTTGGCAGGTTCACAGATGTTAATTTCAGGAAGTCTCGCCTTCTATGCTGACAGTGCACAGAATCCATTAAATGTCAAAATCTGCATCAACATTACTGTTTATGTTTAGTAATCAAATGAGGAAGCTGTTTGGCCCCATGATAGAAAAAGAGCTTAGTCAGTGTGTACAGTATAACCTGGGCAGTAATTAGATGATTAAACAAAGCTTCCTTTCTTTCCATCAGCCCTATGTAGAGTTATGATTTATAATGCAATGTATATGAATATAACATGCAGGACAGCTTTGTGGACACAAGGAGTTCACTTCACTCTACAAGACTGCTCCGCCATTCACTAATATTATGGCTGATCTTAGACTACAAGACCTTGAGATAGAGAAGCAGAAGTAGATTATTCAGCCCACTGAGTCAGCTCCGCCATTCAATGAGATCATGGCTGGTCTGATGATCCTCAATTCCACCTTCTTGCGTTTGCCCCAACCCTCGATTCACTTACTGATTAGAGATCTGTCTATCACAGTCTTGAATACACTTTGTGACTGGCCTCTACAGCCCTATGTGGTAAAGAATTCACAGATTTATTACCCTCTGAGAAATTCCTCCTCATCTTTATTTTAAATGGGCGACACATTATTCTGAGATTATGTCCTCTGGTCCGAGGACCACAAGGGGAAACAACTTTCCACACATACCCTGTCAAATTCCTCCCTCTCAAACTGAATGCTACATTCTACCATGATATGGTGATTGTTTCCTAGGGGATCTTATACTTTGACACAATTTATTAAACCTGCCTCATTACACATTACCACACTCAAAATAACCTGATCCCTGACTGGATCCACAACATACTGTTCTAGGAAATTATGCCAAAAATGTACTATGAATTCTTTCTCATGGCTGCCTCTGCTTATCTGACAATCCCAATCCAGGTGAAAATTCAATTCACCGATGGTTCATATACTCCGTTGTTCTACATGTCCTCATTATCTCCGGACTTATTGTTTTTGCCCACTATATAGCTACTGTTAGAGGACTTATGTAGATGACTCCTACCCAGGTCTTTTTCTATCTTACCACTAAACTTTGCCACATTGTATGTTTCTTCTGTCAATTTGATGCTATGCTTAATTTCCCTAGTTAACCATGGTTGGCTTATCCCCTTCCTACAGTCCTTCTTTCTCATTGGGACATATCTTTGCTGTGAGCCATGAACGATTTGTTTAAATGCCTGCCATCAACTATCTTTGCTGCTAAACTTATTTTTCGGTTCTAGTCCAGCTAGCTCTGCCCTCATTCTTTTTTAATTACTTTATTTAAGTTTAGCATAGTCTCCAACACAAGTTTCTTCCTCCCAAACTGAATGCTAATTTCTTGCATGTTAGTGATGAATTCTGATGAAAAGTCACTGGACTGTAAACGTCAGCTTTTTTCTCCCCCGAGACGTGTCACCAGACCTGCTGAGTTCCTCCAGTAATTTCTGTTTGACCCCTTCCTTCCTTTCTGTCCTTTCAAAATGTCTTCCAGCCTAGCAGCACCATTCAGAATTATCCCGATATCCTAGAATCCCATAGTATCCAATAACCTATTCAGTTCTGTCTTGAACACATTCAAAAAGCTAAATATCCACAGGTGGCGTAGAGAATTCCAAAGATTGTTATAGGCCAATCTGTTTGCATTCCTTTACATTAAAGGCAAACATACCCTTTGCTTTTCTGATTGCTTGCTGTAACTACATGTTACCTTTGCCACCCAGGTATAAGACACTCAGGTCCCCTCTGAATATCAACATTTTTGCAGCCTGATATCATTTTGAAAATTCTGGCATACCAATCTTCCTATCAGAGTGGATTACTTCACACTTGTCCACATTATAATTCATCCATCACATTCTTGCCCACTCAATCTGCTATATCTTTTTGCAATTTGTGTGTGTTCTCTTCATAACTCACTTTCTCACCTTTAATATACGTTGTCAGAAAAGTTGGAAACATTACACTTGCACCCTCCATCCAATTCATTACAACATTCATTGAAAATAGCAGAGTCCCCCAAGTACTGACACTTGTGATGCCTTCCTAGTTACTGTCTTATATGTTGCTTACAATAGTATTTCTGTTCCTAAAACATGCACATTTGCACAGATTCTACTTTCTGGGTCACCCTTCATGGTTTCATTACTCACTAATACTCAAGATCTAGGTTCACCTACACTTGCGTCTTTAGGTATTGTAGGTGATATCAGTGGAGCGATCTTTAAACAAACATCAGCAGCTTTATGAGGAGAGAGAAAAAGGCACATTAAAAAAAACACACAAGTGTACAAAAAATGTTTTCAATGATATTCTGAGACCAACAGCTGCCCAAAAGTCATAAAGACTTATGAGAATGAGAAAACTAAAATATCCAGCACACAAAGTTTACCTCAGGTATTGTAATTTTCAGCTTTAATTTTGCAATTATCATGGCACAAGGTGTGGCCATTTGGCCCATCAAGTCCAAGCTGGCTCTACGGAGCAATTCCTTAATTACCATTCCTCCACACTATCTCATCAACCCTGCAAGTTTAACTTCTTCAGGCTCTTATATAAATTTCCTTTCGAAATCATTGACTTTCTCTGCTCTCACTACCCTCATTGGCTACAAGCTCCAGGTCATTACAACGCACATTCTGCCTATTTCTCTTGAGCAAAGTCTTAACCGTGAGCCCCTTGTCTTTCTAGCGTCAGCTAAAGGAATAACTTTTCTTTGTCTCAATTACATTACTTAACCTGCCATAATCATGTTCACCTTCATCAAAATTTCCATGTACTTTTGACTCCAAGGACAAAACCATAAGTTTCTCAACCTAAATTTATAGCTGAAATCCTTTGTCTGTGGAATTATTCTGGGTAAATCTCCTCTCACCCTCTCGAAGACTCTCAAGTCCAACCTAAAGGGAGGACATCGGTCTTGATCAGAGCTTTATAAAGGTTCAACGTATTTCCCCTGCCTTTGCATCCTAGTTCTTAAGCCCTGGATTTTGTATGCTAGTTACTGTCAATATGTCCTTTCACTTTCAAAGATTATGCACGTGTCGCTCTAGTTCCATTGTCCCCATACACTCTTCAGAACCGTTAAGTCTGTATTGATTCTTCATAGGAGGATAGAATTCATACAAGAATGGGATTCTCCCTATCCCTTCTGCCAACTGCATCACCTCAGGCTTCTTTACTAACTTTCTTCTGTCAATTTTTCATCAATTCTACTAGCCTATGTTGTATCGTAGTTGATTAGTATCATGTTCACTCTGTTTGTCACTCTCTCAGTACCATCAGCACGTTTTGACATTCTATGCTTGTTGTGATATGCAAGTCAATATTATAACAATAACAGTGGACCTAACATTAATCCCTGGGAAACACCACTGACTACCATCCTCCAGTTTGAAAAACAACCAACCATTTACCATGACACTGTTTTCTGTTCTTAAGCCGATTTATTTTTAATTATCCAAGCAGGAACTAATCCTCCATTCCACTGCCTCAATTTGCTAATCAACCTTTTGTGAGATACTTTGTCAAATGCTTTCCAAAAACCCATCTGGATAATCTCTACTGTGTTTCCGATCAACCTCATATTTTACTTCAAAATATTCAATCAAGATTAATCGAAAAAGATCTGTCTTATTCAAATCAGCACCGCCTCCACTTAATTAACTCAAATGTATCCAATGTGTAACTCATTCCCCGATGTCTTCTCAAACCTTACCCATCACTGATGTTAAACTGACAATCCTTACACCCTTTCTGAAACAAGTGTTCACACTTGCCATATATATGGAATGTAGCATAAGATACTCACAGAAAGAATACAATTCCTTAATTCCAGTAGATGGTTGCGTAGTAGCTTCATGTCTTTAGATCCAGATGCACCAGTGTCCAGCACAAACAATTTATCAGATATGTGCATATCGTTTCCAAACCTAAGTATGTACAAGGTCATTATACAAGTTACAGTACAGACAGAATGCAATTTATCAGTAAAGTCTAGAACAAGGTTAGTGCCAATGGAAGCAATACTGAAATCACAAGACACTTGCTCCCACCCAGATATATCAAAAATAAATACACTTTTCATAAAACTAAACTAAACTTGTGTAATGGGACAAACATTAAAAACGTTACAAAAACAAACTGGTTGATCGTGAGAAACTTCGGAAGGTTAGCTTGGATTCCACAGTTACAATGTCACAAAAACAAAAACTTAAGACCAAATAAAGATATGCCAACCAATCACTAACATTATTTTGATGTTACTGCCATGCTCCTGGCTTTTCCACCATTACAATATTCCTCTAAATGAAAAAAGTTGCCATTTTAATAACAGGTAGTGGCTCCAGTCACTGCTTATGGAGTTACAAGTACGGCTGAATTCTTCCCAGAAAAAGTGCTAACAAAAGGGAAATAGTTCACACAATTCTTATGTCTCAAGTCCAGGAAAATATTTAACATATCAGATTCTGTTACAGGTCACTATGAAGAAACCTTGGCAGCTTATGATGATGAATTATCATGATTATATTTCTCACATCTTCTTCAATGAATGCTACTGCTGTTAATGCAGAACTCCTGCAGTATCAGTTAGAGTGCCACGTGCTCAAGTCCTGGATGAGGGCTCAAACGTGCAAGTTTGCATCTGTAAGTGTTACCGACTGAACTAAACTGGGAATTGATAGGGCAATTAAGGAAAATGAAACGCTTGAAAGGCAGTTCAGATGACTTTGGCTACTTACCTACTTTTTATTTCTTTTAGAAGTGACAGATCTTTGTCATAATCAAATTCCCCTCCAAACGTACGGGGACAGTTTACAATGTCTGCATGTGTGGCAACAAGAATAACCCGCAAAGGATTTTTCAGCTTTCCACCAAATGCTATCAAGAAAAGAAATCACTTGAGTATAAATATAAAACAGGCTTATCATTAGTTTTATGTTCATTCTGACTCCAATTTCATACTAATTACTATGTCAGATATACTGTCAATCCTCTACAGATGAACCATTCACTCTTATAATGGGAGAGGACTCATACCAATTGAAACGGGTTTAAATCCTAGTTGTTTCCAAGCTCAGGTGACAAGTTCAACTTTCTCACAAATGTAACAACCAACATAAAAACTACAGGTAATTATTTTGGTACAAGAACTCATTGTGGCCTTCAGAAATGTCCATCAAAGGATGTTAGGCAGACAGTAAACAGGGGTATGCATTCAATCATCTTTATTTTTTATTTTTTTTTTCCCCCACAGCTGAGGAACTGAACAATTTACTTTTGAGGAATACTCAAACATATTAAATCAGTGAAATCCAAAGGCTCTATGTTTCATTTTATTAATGATGTGGAGTGTGTGGACTTGCTTTACAGCTGCATAAATTGTACAGAGGTAAAGAGGCTACAATTGTATTAGGCCATAGGGCTCCTCTTTCATTAGGGAAAGATGCCTGGTGGTGGCTTAACCGGAGGGTCACCAGGCATCAGATGAAGGGCAAGATTGAGTAGGAAAATCTCGGAGTCAGTTGGCTGGACAGATGGTTTGTGGTGCAGAGCAATGCCACTGAGGGTTCAATTTCCTCACCAGTTGACGTTACAATAAAGGACCCTCCATCTCAACCTCTCCCCTCACCTGTGGTATGGTGTTCCCCATATTGAACTACCATCAGTTGTTTCTCTATCGTTCTTTGGGAGTATAGTGACTTTAACTTTATCCGTTTTATTAACTGATGTAAAGTTAAAGCTCTGATCTAGAAGTTAAAGTTCTTAATTGGAGGAAGGCAATTTTGACCGCCTTAGGCAAGAACTTTGAAAGGTTGACTGGGGATGGATATTCTCAGGTAAAGGGACAGTTAGAAAATGGGAAGCTTTCAAATATAAGATAACGAGAGTCCAGAGACAGTATGTTCCCGTTAGGGTGAAGGGCACATCTGGTAGGTGTAGGGAATGCTGAATGACGAGAGAAATTGAGGCTTTGGTCTAGAAAAAGAAGGAAGCATATGTCAGGTGTAGACAGCAGGGATTGAGTGAATCCCTAGAAGAGTATAAAGGCAGAAGGAGTACACTTAAGAGGGAAATCAGGAGGGCAAGAAGGGGACATGAGCTAGCTTTGGCAAATAAGGTTAAGGAGAATCGAAAGGGATTCTACAAATACATTAAGGATCGAAGTGTCACTAGTGACAGTATAGGGCCCCTTAAAGATCAGCAAGGCCGCCTATGTGTGGAACCACAGGAGATGGGGCAGGTACTAAATGAATAGTAATATTTTGCATCAGTGTTTACTGTGGAGCAGGAAATGGAAGCTAGAGAACTTGGGGAAATAAATAGCGACATCCTGAAAAATGTCCATATTACAGAGGAGGTAGTGCTGGATGTCTTAAAATGCGTAAAGGTGGATAAACCTTCAAGACCTGATCAAGTGTACACTAGACGTTTGTGGGAAGCTAGGGAAGTGATTGCTGGGCCCCTTGCTGAGATATTTGTATCATCAATAGCCATGGGTGAGATGCCAGAAGACGGGAGGTTGGCTAACTTGGTGCCATTATTTAAGAAAGGTGCTAAGGAAAAGCCAGGGAACTATAGATTAGTAAGCATGACATTAGTGATGGGCAAGTTGTTTGACAGACAGGATTTACATGTATTTGGAAAGGCAAGGACTGATTAGGAATAGTCAACATGGCTCTGCACGTGGGAAATCTTTTTTCATTAGCATGATTGAGTTTTTTTTGAAGAAGTGACAAAGAGGATTAATGAAGGTAGAGCGTTGGATGTCGTCTATACTGACTTTGAGGCGTTTGACAAGGTTCCTCATGGTAGACTGGTTAGCAAGGTTAGCTCACATGGAATACAGGGAGAACTAGCTATTTGGATATAAAATTGATGCGAGGATAGCAGACAGAGGGTGGTGGAGGGTTGCCTTCTGGATTGGAGGCCTGTGACCAGTGGTGTGCCACAAGGATTGGTGCTGGCCCCACTGCTTATCGTCATTTGTATAAATGATTTGGATGTGAACATAAGACGCATTAGTAAGTTTGCAGGTGACACCAAAATTGGTGGTGTAGTGGACAGACAAGAAGATTATCTGAGTAGAACGGGACCTTGATCAGATGGGCTGAGGAGCAGCAGATGGAGTTTAATCTAGATAAACGTGAGGTATGGTTTTTTGATTGGGCAAACCAGGGCAGGATTTAATGGTAAGGTCCTGGGGAGTGTTGCTGAACAAAGAGACCTTGGAGTGCAGATTCTTGTTCCTTGAAAGTGAAGTTGCAGATAGATAGGATAGTGAAGGTCGTGTTTGGTATGCTAGCCTTTATTGATCAGTACATTGGGAGGAGTTGGGAGGTCTTGTTGCGGCTGTACAAGACATTGGTTAGGTCACTAGTGGAATATTATGTTCAATGCTGGTCACCCTGCAATAGGAGAGATGTTGTGAACCTTGAAAAGGTTCAGAAAAGATTTACAAGGATGTTGGCAGGGTTAGAGGGTTTGAGCCGTAAGGAGAGGCTGAACAGGCTGCAGTTATTTTCCCTGGAGCGTCGGAGGCTGAGGGGTTACCTTATAGAAGTTTGTCAAATCATGAGGGACATGGATTTGGTGAATAGTCAAGATCTTTTCCCCAGGGCAGGGGAGTCCAAAACTCAAGGGCATAGGTTTAAATTGAGAGGGAAAAGATTTAAAAGGGGCCTAAGGGCCAACATTTTCCACACAGAGGGTGGTGTGTGTATCAAATGAGATGCCAGAGGAAGTGATGGAGGCTGGTACAATTACACCATTCAAAAGGCATCTGGATAGGTACATGAATAAGAAGGGTTTAGATGGATTTGGGCTAAATGCTGGCAAATGGGATTAGATTAATTTAGCATACCTGGTCGGCATGGCGTTGGACTGAAATGTCTGTTTACATGCTGTACATCTCTATGACTCCATAACTGTTTGAAAAAATACATTTTTAAAATGGCCAAAATGCTCTGATATTCAGTCCCAACACTTCAGTCTTACTAGCTAACTTATTCTATTACAATTTTGAGCACTGATGTTTTTGTTTCATTAGTGAATAAATTTTAAAACAGAGGCACTTGTAAAATAATAGTGTCAACTTTTATGTGGCCCACAGAGGCAGTATGGCCCATAGATTAATTTATTTCAATTGCTCTTTAGTGCCATCTGCTGGAAGATGGTATTATGTAAAGTTTCTTATCAGAACACAGACATAACTGGTGTAAATAAAATTTGATAGCTTGGCTTGGCTGCATACTTATTAGGTAATCAGTAAGACTTTTCTTCCCCAACACCAATTTTTCCTTGAAAAAGTGTTCAAATGATTATTCTGAGCTCTTCCCAAATGCTTCTCTCATTAAAGCCACTCCCTTCTGCAATTTATTATTGGAGAGGCATATCTATCTTGTAAAATACTACACACTCCCAATACAGTTACACAGGCAGGGTTAAGTCTGAGAGCAGCCTTTACCTCATTTGTAACCAACATGTCACATACTTACACTTCTGCAAAATCAATCACCTCCGCTCTTTTTTCTCAAACCCCACTGCTGCTGATACCATTATTCAATTTTCTTATTTGTTAATGGGACATGGGTATTGCTAGCAAAGGTCAGCATTTATTGCCCAAAGCCTAAATATCTTTGAAAATGTGGTGGTTAACTGCCTTCTTGAATTGTTGCAGTCTATGTGGTGTTATGCCTGGTACTGTTTCATAGGGAGTTCCAGAATTTTGACTGAGGGACATTGAAGGACGGGTGGAAAGACTGCAGCTTGGAATAGAATTCAGAGATATTGGTGTCCCTATGCACCTGCTGCCTTTGTTCTTTCTAGGTGGTAGAGTCTGCCATTTTGTAAGGTGTTATTGCAAGAACTTTGGCATAAGTCAGAGGTCATCATGGAGATGGTACCAATGATGCCTCTATGATGCCTCCACCTTCGGTTGAACACAGACAGACAGCCTGACAATGTAGGGTGGGGGATCAGGTGCATACCAAGTTGGCTGCTTTGACCTGGTTGGTATTGAGCCTTTTGAATAACGTTGAAGTTGCACCCATCCAGACAAGAGGAGAGTATGCTACTACACTCCTGACTTGAGCCTTGACAGGAGTGTGTGTGGCTGGAATCATAAAGCTGTAATTTCTTTCATGATAAGAAGAATTTATACACATCATAGCACAAAACCTCTGCAGCATGAGGTGCTGGAAAATTACATCACTTTATATGAGCTGTGGTGAAATACAAATACTTCCAAGGCCACTTCCAACTAGTGAAATTGACAGGTTTAAAATTAATTTATGGGATTTAAGCATCACTAGTTGGACCAGCATTTATTGCCAAATTTAATTACCCCGGAGAGGGAGGTGGTGAGCTGTCCTCAAACTGCAGCAATCCTTGGGGTGTAGGAATACTCGCAGTGCTGTTCGGAAGTGCATTCCAGGATTTTGAACTGGTGCTAGTGAAGAAATGATGATAGAATTCCAAATCAGGACAATGAGTACCTTTCAGGGAAATTTGCAGATGATGTGCCCAGTAAGAAGCAACCAAGGAGGATTCTGGGAGAAGTCAGAATAGTCACCACGAATGCTGTTCGTGAGTGGCAGCTGTGAACCAGAACCAGAGAGGCCAGAGCAAGCAGACAGTGATGGAGCAGGTACAAACTTGAGCATACAGCACTGACTTGACCTATTCCACAGTGAACATTGTGGGAGCTACACTTCATCACATTACAAGTTCAAAAGTCACATTTTGGACAGAAGGACTTCTGACTGACAAGTAGTGGTCAGGAGATACAAACCTTTTATGCCTTCAATTTCCATTAACCCAAAACCCATACAGTTTATAGTAGTGGGATCTGGGATAGTATCTTCAGTGTTGTTTTCAGAATAGTGTATTTAATATTTAGTGAGAATCCAACAATAGGGACCATTTAGTTAGCTGTACATTAAATAAAAATAAATTTCTATTGAATTAAATAGTTGCTAGAGGGTAAAAAGGACAGTCAGTCTGGTAGTCTGCTTCTCCTGCAGAATGTGGGAAATAACGCAGTTTGAACACCTCTCGACAATCTGCAGCTAGTGTGTTCAATTGCAGCTCTTGTCAGACCACATGGATCAGTTGGAGTGGCAGTCAGACACACCTAGGAACATGCAAGAGGCAGCAAGCGTCATAGGCAGGAGTTTCAGTGATGTGGTCACACTCAAGGTTTAAGACTGCTAAAAAGGGGCAGTGCAGGAGTCCCCTGTGGCTACCCCTCTCTCTAACAAGTATAATATTTTGGACATTGTTTGAGTTGGGGTGGGGTGACCGCCCATCAGGGGTTGATAACAGCCACAGCCAGAACACAGGCAACACAGATGATTCTGTTGGACAGCAGGGAGGGTCAAAGTACAGTACAGCAATAGTAATACAGGAAAACCTCTATAGTCAGGGGCACAGATAGATGTTTCTGTGCTGCAAAAGAGACTTCAGGATGGTGTGTTGCTTCCCTGGTGCTAGGATCAGTAATGTCTCTGAGTAGCAGCGACACATTCTCGAGAGGGAGGGCGAGAAACCAGGCAGCATGTATGTATTGGTACTGATGTCACATACAAGAAGAATGACGAGGTCCTACAAAGGGAGCTCAGGAAGTTAGGTAGTAAGTTCAATAGCAGGACATCTAGGGTTGTACTCTTGGGATTACTTCCAGTGACACATCCCAGTTAGCCTACCAATAGAAAGATAGTACAGTTAAATACACGGTTAAAGAGCTGGTGTAGGAAGGGGAGCTCAAACATATGGATCATTGGGATCTCTTCCAAAGCAGGTCGGCCCTATATAAGAAGGACAGGTTGCACCTAAACTGTAGGGGTACGAATATCCTGGTAAGGAGGTTTGCTAGTATCACTTGGGAGGGTTTAAACTAGCATGATTGGATGGGTATTTGAATAGGAAGGGTTTAGAGGGATATGGCCAAATGCTGGCAAATGGGACTAGATTTATATAGGATATTTGGTCAGCATGGACGAGTTGGGCCATAGGGTCTGTTTCCAAGCTGTCTACCTCTATGACTATGACTCTGACTCTATGACAGGAGATCGGAACTGGAGCAATAGGTCAGCAAGTGAAATAACCAAACAGAAGGTAGATATTAAGGCCAGTAAGACTAATAGGAAGAAAAGAGAGGGAGAAGTTACTGAACATGGCAGGACTGGCGGTCTAAAGTGCATTTGTTTTAATACGAGGTGTATGACAGGTAAGGCACATAAACTTAAGAATGTGGATTAGTACATACTAGTATGGCGATCTTGGTTGAGAGGGGGACAAGACTGGCAGGTTAACGTTCCAGGATTGAGATGTTTCGGGTGAAATAGAGAGCAATTAAAAAACGGGGTGGGGTGTTGCATTACTAGTGACAGAAATTATCACAGCTATGCTGAAGAAGGAGGACACCTTGGAGGGCTCATCCAGCGAGGCTATATGATACAGCTCAGGAATAGGAAGGGTGCAATTTCTGATAGGGTTTTACCACATGCTACTCAATATCGAGCAGGAGATAGAGGAACAGATATGTGGAAAGATTGTAGATAAATGTAAAAACAACACGTTAGTTGTGGTGGGTGGTTTTAACTTCCCTTATATTGACTGGGACTCCCTTAGGCTCAGGGGCTTGGATGGGCCTGAGGAATTTGTTAGGTGGGTCTGGGACAGTGTTTTGTAACACTACGTAAATAGTCCAACGATGGAAGGGTCCATACCAAACTTGGTATTGTGGAACAAGTCCAGCCAGATGACTGAAGTTTCAGCGGGGGAGCATTTCGAGAACAGTGTATTTTGTAATTTTGTAATTTATCCCTATCCATAAGTAACTCAAAAGTGTAGTCCTCGGGTGAAAGCACAAAACTGGGGGAAGGCCAACCACCACAATATTAGGCAGGAACTGGGGTATGTAGATTGGGTAGGGGGCAGCAGTTTGACAGTAAATCCACATTTGGAAATCTTTTAAAAGGCCAGTTGGTTAGAGTTTAGGACCAGCATGTTCCTGTTAAATTGAAGGATAAGGATGGCAAGATTCAGGAACATTGCATGACAAGAGAAATCGTGAGCTTAGTCAAAAAGGAAAAGGTGTATTTATGGTTTAGAAAACTGAAGACAGACAGATCTCTTGAAGATTATAAAAAAGGCATGAAAGAACTTAAACAAAGAGTTAGGAGGACGGAAAAGGGCCATGAAATGTCCCTGACAAACAGAATTATGGAAAATCCCAAGATATTTTATATGTATATAAGGAACATGACAGTAGCCAGGGAAAGGGTACGATAGGACAAAGGAGAGAATTTGTGCATGTAGCTAGAGGAAGTGGATGAGTTCCTTAATGAATACTTTTCTTTGGTATTTAGAAAAGAGAAGGATATGCTGGATGGAAGGTGAATCTCGGGAAGGGTATGTGGATATTCTAGGGCATGTCGATATAAAAAAAGTATTGGGTGTTTTGAAAAGGGTTAAGGTGGATAAGTTCCCAGGACCTGATTGGATCTATTTCAGAATACTGAGGGAAGCAAACCAGGAAACTGCTGGGGCCTTATACAAATTTTTTGTATCTTCTTTAGTCACAGGACTAGTTCCAGAGGACTGAACCATAGCCAATTTGTTACTTTGTTGAAGAAGGGCGACAGGGATAATCCAGGAAATTACAACCTGCAGAGCCTTACGTCAATGATAGAGAAATTTTTGAGAAGGTTCTTAGGGATAGGATTTACCCACATTTGAGGAAGTATGGACTTTTTGGAAATGGAAGCATGGCTTAATGCAGAAAAGGCTGCATCTCACAAACTTGTTTGAGTTTTTTGAAGAAGTGACAAAAGGTAATTAATTAAGGGATTGGAGGTAGATATTGTCTATATGGACTTTAGAAAGGCCTTTGACAAGGTCCCTTATGGGAAGCTGATACATGGGATCCGTGGTGAGCTGGTAAGATGGATACAGAACTAGTGGAAGGGTGTTGTCCAGATTGGAGATTTGTTCCACAGTGATCAGTGTTGGGACCCCTGTAGTTTGTAATGTGTATAAAAAAATTGAAGGAGAGTATAGGTAGTCTGATTAGTAGACTTAGTGTCATACACAAGCTTATGATCAAAGTGTACAGGGGGACAGCAGGAACTGAGTTGGATGATCCGTCATATCATATTGAATACATCCTCCTTTAGATATGCAACTCAACTGTACAAGCTCGGAGTGCTATCTCACCCAAGCCTTGCACAATTGTAGCAAGCCGTTCTTTCTCTTGTACTCCAATCCTCCGGCAACAAAAAAATTTCTTTCCATTTGCTTGCATTGCCTACATGTTAATTATGTGATTGGAGAAACTCAGTAGGTCTGGCAGAATCTATGCAGAGGAAAATAGAATAATATATTTTATATATTTATTTTTTATATTGTATATTTTTTGGTGAACTATTACTGTGATACATGAGGAGAAAAATAAATCTACACTTAACTTTTATTGAAGACTTTACAATGAAACACTAAATTAATCAGTAACTGCCAAATTTAACCTAAATGTGATTTTTAAAAAAAAATCAAAAGAAACTTCAAAGATAAGAAATAAGCATTTCTTTTATATTAAGATTCATTTTTCTGGATAACTAAATTTCCATCTAAGTATGTTAACTTATTTTGAAGATTCTGATGGTTCCTTCCTCTGTGATCACGATTGGTGGATGAGTGTGTTCTGGGAATAATGCATGGATTTAACCTTACCTAAAGGATCTTCAGCTGGAATAAGAGATTTGAGGGAATTGAGCCAAAAGGTCACTTGATTCAGTTGCATTTCATATGGTTCCTCTAGACTGAAAAGCACCATGTGGATAGCAGTGGAGTCATTTGCAGCAAAATAATCATAACAGCAATAGTAGACAGGATTACCAGAGAACTCCCAGACACTAAAATCACCAACACCTAAAAGAAATTCAAATGCTCAATTATCTTGAACTGATCAATACAGTTTAAAAAAAGACACGTGTTAACAGTCTGATTCATTTTACTACTTAAAATTGCTGAGCACTAAGCAGTGGTAACAACTTAAGTCATTGATTCCCAAACTGTGAGTTGCAGATCAGGTGGGATAATATACAGGTAGTTCTGCTACAACGCGTGTTTTGCTAACGCAAATTGGCTGTAACGCCAATAGTGGATGCTGTTTGGATAATGCGAACTTTCTGCTGTACAGGTATAGCGATTGTCTATAGCTATTTCCCTGTAGTGCGATTTTCGATGGTAATTTTCTATAGCGCGAGGTCACACAAGAATGCAACTATCGGGTTATAGGAGAACTACCTGTAGAAGTTTCAATATACTCTAAATACTAGGCTAGCTCTATTTCCACAGTGGCGTGACACAGGACGTGCCAATACATTGAGATGATGATTCTGGGCTGAGTCGGTGTTGCAAGGTGCAATTTCTCTGGAACATTGTGCAGAGCCTGTTCCCAACCCTCCAGTCGCTGCTTCACCTTCTGCCATGTTTACTGGCTGCCAAATGCACATTCGTCATCAGACATTCCCAATTGTCACCCAGCCATTAGCTATGTGGAGCAAAATATGGAAATTAATTGGTATGCTTTTCTAAAGTTGATATATTTTCTCATTCTCTTCAAGATTCTGATTCTTACCTGGGAGAATTTACGAATCCTCAAACATTATGTCCCAGCTTTGATGATGATTGTTTGCTACTTTATTTGATTGCAGACAATAGGTTCCAGGTGAGGGGGTAAAGTTTAGAGGAGAAGTGTAGGGAAATTTTATCACATAGAGGGTGGTGGAGCCTGGAATGCACTGCCAGTGGAGGTGGTGGAAGCAGGCACATTAACAATGTTTAAGGTGTATCTTGATAGACACGTGAACGGGAGATGAACAGAGGGACAGAAACTGTGCACAGGCAATAAGTAGTGGGTCTAAATAAGAATTGAAATCAGCGCAGGCTTGGTGGGCCCAAGGGCCTGTTTCTGTGCTGTATTGCATTGAATTGAAGCTGCATCATGCCCGCACCAGATTTGTAAACATGTCTGTTTCCAACAGGGATCATTATTTGCTGTCCAAAGCAGATTTCTCTCTCGCTAAACCATTTATAACAAAAATTACTGTGAGATTCCACGAGTTATGCTGGCAAAGGTCAGCTAACTCAGCCTGGAATTGAAGTTTTATTTTGTTTCTTCCTGATTAAATGGCGTAATACTCTACACCATCAGGACAGCGTTTGTTTGACAAATGCTACCAAAGGTTTAAACAAACTGCCACAGTAATTGTTATACACGAAGAACAAATTAATTTACTATGGTCTCGAGGCAAGTGTCAAATTAACCTTAAATTAGTGACATGCTGCAAATGTAATTAATGCTTTTAAAATGCTGCTTCACCCATTCAATTTTACACAGCAACAATGCAGCACGAAATCTGAAAAGCTTTCTAAATATGATAAGCCTGTTGAGATTTAAAATAGCAAAAACAATTAAGCACATTTTTATTCAATAATTGTTTCAAATTTCATATCAGCTCTGTATTTAAACTTAACGATTAAGTAGCCAGTAAAAAGGTCAGGAGTTTCGAGTTAGCTCTGTTGTAAAGTAAACATTTCTTACCATTAACATTAGCATGCTGTATGTCAATAGCTTTAGTAGACTGATCATCAGTTACATAGTGTAAATTGTGCGTAGGTGAAACAAAAGCTTGCAGAACGCCTTTGGTTAGACTTGGTTCAAACATCATGCTCCGGCTCCTTACACTGACATTTTCACACCCAGGGTACAGGTTTGAAATACTCACTGAAACTTGAAATGAGAAGTTAATCAAATACGCTGCTTATAAAAGGTAACGACTCTTGGACCAAGGTCACCATCTAAATAAAAGTTGTACAGCTTCTTAAATATAAGTTAATCCAATTTAATTTAACTTTTCAATAATATTAATTATGGTCCAGTGGGTGGAAGGCATTAACCTGATATTAAACTGATCTCAACTGGAGCAGCAGTTTGGTGCTGCGCAATTGGGCATGTCCCTTCTTTAATAGAGAAGGGGGAAAAAAAGTCAGCCAATAACTTCTGGGTTATTTTTGAAGTGTATTTACTGTTATTTGTAGGTGACAACATAACGAATGATGAATTGTGTGTTAATAAACACCACTAAAAAGTAGTTTGAGAGATAGATGATGGCCAAGACGATGGGAGAGCTCCCATGTATTTCAAATAATACCATGATGCATGTTCCATCCATATGATGGGGTGCTTGGGGGCCTCACTTTATTTACTGCATCCGACGGAAAAACATCTCCTACTTTGCAGCATGTTCTTAAGACTGTAATGAAGTCAGAACCTAGATTGTAGTTCTTTCCTGGAAATCGCCTTAAATTACAACTTTCTGATTCAGAGTGAAAGGTGAACAAATAAAACAAAAATTAAGTGCAGTATAAGGATTGGCACTCCCAAGCTCCCTGTGCTTTGCCATTGTGAATTGCTATTCCAACCCAATCTGATTTCAACATCTTTGTGCGTCAACTGTAGCTTGCTGTGTGCAAATTGGCTGCTGCATTTCCTAGATTCGTGACCAATTAGGTAAGGAAATCAAAGGTTATTGGGGTTAGATGGAAAAGTGGATTTCAAACACAAGCAGAATATCCATGATTTTTTTTGAATGGCAGGGCAGGCGCAAAGGGCACGGCCTACTTCTGTTCATCATTTGTATGTTTGTATGACTACATTTTGCAAGGAATGCCTTTGCGTTAAAATACATTGAAATTTCTGATTGGTGTGAAAATCAAAAAATGTAAAACTTCTTTGATCTTCTCATAATTTCAATAAAGTTTCAAAGCAGCTCTGGAAAGGTTTGCAATTTCAGACCATATCAGGTTGGGGGGTTGCGTAGAGGAGGCAATTTCCTCACAATGGGTTTATTGCTCTCCAGGGGTTAGACCAGTGCCTGACATCATTCCTGGCATTTTCACTGAAATTTGGCTCTGTTAACCCAGTGAAAGATTGTAGACCCAGATAAAAGTGCTTTTGTAAATCTGTCTCCAGAATGAAAAGGGACATATTTGGTAGGAAGAACATCAGGAATACAAATTGGGTGGATGTACAAGTAATCCTCAGGCACTCTAGATAAAGTATTTTAGGACAAAAATTAAGCTATTAATATAAAAATCCATTTGAAAATCCTACTGCTACAGCAGACTGAAAACACAACTGTTTGGCAAAACTGAAATCACAAGCTGTCTTTTTTAGTAATAATTTATTTGGATTCTGACAGGCTGGTGTATATAATCTGTTAGTTCTACTGCTAAATTCACTTCCATTAATGGATTTCAAAGTCTGGTGGGATAAATGAGTCAGATTTTGCAGCATTAACAATTGGAACTGACTCAGATGTCTATATTTCACAATCCAAATTAAATGACATCAAATTATACAAGCATCTTCTGACTCATCTCAGAAGATTCTTTGCATCAGTTAATTCTGTCCTCAACTCTACTTATCTCTTTTCAATTCAGTAAGACCACAAGAAATAGGAACAAGCCATTCGGCCCTTAAGCCTGCGTCACCAATAGGATCGTGGCTGATCGACATTTCTCCTGTCCATGTTCCTGTCCTTACCCCACAGCCTTTGATTCCCCTACTCGTCAAGCATCCATCTACCCGAGTATCCACCGAAGTCTAAATATACACAAGGACTCTGGAATTCCTTGCCACAGAGAGAATGGGGAGGGGCAAAGACACTCAACCCTCACAGAAGAAATTCTTCCACATCTCAGACTTAAAATGGCACCCGCAGACAAGGGGCATAGATAAGGCTGAGTAGCAAAGATGTCTTCCCTAGGGTGTGGAAGTTCAAAACTAGGGGGCATATGGATGGCACTGTGGCTCAGTGGTTAGCACTGCTGCCTCACAGCGCCAGGAACCTGGGTTCAATTCCACCCTCGGGCGACTGTCTGCGTGGAGTTTGCACATTCTCCCTGTGTCTGCGTGGGTTTCCTCCAGGTGCTCCGGTTTCCTCCCACAGTCCAAAGATGTGCAGGTTAGGTGGATTGGCCATGCTAAATTGCCCATAGTGTTCAGGGATGTGTAGATTAGGTGGGTTAAAGGGGGATCGGTCTGGGTGGGATGCTCTGAGGGTTGGTGGGGCTTGTTGGGCCGAAGGGCCTGTTTCCACACTGTAGGGATTTTATGATTCTATGATATTTTAAGGTGAGAGGAGAAAGATTTAAAAGGGATGTAAGGGGCAATTTTTTTTTCAGAGGATGGAATAATTGGCTAGAGGTGGTGGTAGATGCAGGAACAGTTACAATATTTAAAACACATTTGAATAGGTACATGAATAGGAAAAGTTTACAGGGATATGGGCCAAACGCAGGCAAATGGGACTAGTTCAGTTTGGAAAACTTGATCAGCACGGACTGGTTGGACGAAGGGTCTGTTTCCATGCTGTATACCTCTATGACTCTATTAATCTGTGAGTCAGTCACATGGAGATTTGGCAAATAGATATTTTGATCAGTCCTAAAACATGATTGTGTGTATGTATCTCTAGGGAGAAGCACAATTTTAATACCTATGTTATAGCAATCTGAAGGTTAGCTGTTTAGAAATATTAAGTTACCTGTTGGTTTTGATGATAATGGCGATGGAGGATAACGAGTGGAGTTGGTGGATGACAGCCTTGGTCTGCGTCTCCTGAAGAAACTTCGCAGAAGCCCACATTTGAGGGATTCTATAAGTGCCGTTTTCCCTGTTCCTGAATTTCCAAACAATTTCAGTTTTATTCGGGCTTGTGAATTTTGAGAGTGCCTAAGTTGCTGAATGAACATGCTTCTATGTGTATCCTAAAGTAAAACAAAGCAACAAAATTAATAGAAGTTCACTGGTTGACATTGTCTCAGTAGGCGTGTCACCTGAGATGCTAAGGAGCTCTAGGAAGCTATTTTTAGCAATTAGTTAATATACTCATTTTAGTTTCCATTGTGTATTATTGAATCAAAATCGACAACTTTGCCAAAATATCAAAGTGGAACTTGACACAAACGTCAACAATAGTGAATTCATGAATTTCAATGTATAAATTTAGATCACAATAAATTAAATAGAAACCAAAACCCTTCAGTTTATACTATAAGGAGCATGTATTCATGTATATCTGTTTATCATGCAGCAAAATGAAACTGGATAAATCTGAAACTGCTACATAAAGTACTTCAATATTCCTTCAGTAGAGGAGAATGAAAGTATAAATGCAGTCAGGTAATCAAAACACGTTATAAAAGTTAAGCTTTCCTGCTCCTCTGGTGCTGCTGGGCCTGCTGTGTTCATCCAGCTCTACACCTTGTTATCTACATTATAAAAGTTATAATGCTTTATGCATGCAACTAATCAGTTGACATAATGCCCACAAAATACTTAATTTGGAAATAACAAAGATGTTATGACGGCGTTAGATTGTATTGGTGAAGCAGTGCTTTTCTCTGGCCATGCAATACGAGTTGTTATAAAAGATTGCCACTAGAGGGAGTATATGTTGCTTTACAATCATGGAGGCATCTTATTCCAGGTGATATAAACAACTGGAAATCATTAACGACAGAAGAGATTTTAACCAGCACGTTCAAACAAGTGGATGCAGAGTGCTGGAAATACTCAGGAGGACTGAGTATTTGGGGAGTGAGAAACAATACACTGGGCCAAATAAATCTCTTTTTCAGAAATAAAGGTGGAAATGTGATGGGTTTTATGCATTAAAGAGTTGAGGGGGTGGAAGAACAAAAGGGAAGGTCTGGTAGAGAGTAGAGACTATAATAACGAAACCAGGCAAATGTCCAGATGAGTGTGAATTGCAGAGTAATGAACATCTTTTTCCAACTTTTCAAAAACAAAATCATGACAAACAAGAATTTGATCAGTACATGGCAGAAAAAAGGAATAAAACAGGAATAGAATTCATGACTGAAATTGATGACTACTAGGTATTTATGCATAAGAGGTGGCCATTCAGTCCTTCATGTCTACCATACAGAGACTACCGTAAGGCAAATGAGTATCTGAATACTATACATATGTTACAAGACTTTCAGAGCAGAATGTTCCAAACTCTCACACCGTCCAAGTTAAAAACTTTATCTTCAATTCTCCTCTTGGCCTTCTATCTCTTACCTTATAGTTCTGGACCCCTCTACTACTGGAGAAAGTGCCTTCCTACGCACCCTATCTAAGCCTCTCGTTATCTTATATGAGTCTGTCAGATCTCTTTTCAATCTTCACTGCTCCAAGGATAACTATCCAGCTATTCCATGTTTCCTCATGTGTCAGTCCCTTCAGCCCAGGCTGTGGATTACAAAGGTTGTAAATTGCCAAAGTGGAAAATAAGGTGCTGTTCCTTAACTTGTTCTGTGCTTCAGTGTAATACTATTTAAGACCAAGACGGTGAATTAAAATGGCAAGCAACTGGAAGCTCCAGATCATGCTTGCTGATTGGGTAGAGATGTTCTATAAAAAGGGATCGCCCAGTCCATGCTTGGTCTCCCCAGGTGTAGAGGAGATTGTATTATGAGTAGCATATACAGTAGACTAAACTGAAAAAGGGCAATTGTTGCATCATACAGATGAAGTATTTGAGGCCTTGAACAGTGCGCAGAGAGGAAATAAAGAGCAAATGTTATACTTCTTCCTGGTGTGGGAAGGTACTGTGAAAGGTGATGAGACGAGATGTTGAGATGATTGAGAAGTAGACCAGGGTTTTGGAAAGGAAACAATCTCTTAGGAATTCTGGCAGGAGAGGGTAGGAGTTCAAGCATTTGGTGGCATAATTGAAGTGCCAGAAATGATGAAGCATGATCCTTCAAATGTGGAGGTTGTTATGATGGACAGTGAGGTTAAAATGAACTCGATCCCCGTTCTCGGAAGGAGAGAAATCGTTGAGAGCAAGATGTGGGAAATGGCTAGACACAGTAGAGGGTCCTGTCAACCAGTGGGGGAAGTCCTTAGTTCAGGAGAAAGGAACCACTTCCATCATCTCTTGATCAGTTAGGAACACAGGAGTGGTAGAAGATCATTCAGCCCACCGAGCATGCTCCACCATTCAGTGCAATCATGGCTGGTCATCCACATCAACCCCATTCTCCTCCACCCTATCCGCATATCCTTTCACATCAGTGCTTTTTAAAAATCTATCAACTCTACTTTAAGCATATCCAATTACATAGATTCCACAGCCCTTTTGGATAGAGATGTCCATAGATTCACAACCATCTGAGTAAAAATGTTTCTCATCTCAGTTGTAAATGCTTACCCCTTATTCTGGAACTGTCCTCTGGTTTCAGGCCTCCTCAATCAAGGGAGCCATTTGACCTGCATCCAAATGTCCATCCCTTTAAGTATTATTTAAATTTCAATGCGATCACTTCTCATTCTTCAAAAATCTAGAGAATATAGGCTGAGTTTTCTAATCTTTCCTCAAAGGACAGTTCTGCCATCATGGGAAAAAGTCTTGCAAACCTCTGTTGCCCTTTGTCTATGGCGATGATATCCTTTCCAAGGTAAGGAGACCAGAAGTGAACACAATTCTCTAGGAGTGGTCTAACCAAACTTCTAATATAAGTGAAGCAAGACTTCAACTCATCAACTGCTTTTCTCCCCAGAAATGCTGCTAGGCCTAGTGAGTATTCCCAGCATGTTGTTTTTATTTCAGATTTACATTGTTCGTGGTGCTTTAATGTTTGTTGTTTTTCTGTTTTTCACAATGATACGGAGACAGTGCTGCATTGTCAGAGGTGCTGGATATAACCAGTCACATCTTACTGTGCAACTGGAAGAAAATTATGGTACACCACTCAGTGAGGAACAGCTTTTTAACCTTCACCTCATGTGCCTAAACCATTTTAACTCCCTGTTACATGTTCCTAGATTGGCTGTCTTCTTTGTGTGCAGTATAAAAACCACAGTGAAAATACTTTAAAACCACTTTACCAGTTGTGAAGCATTGACACTTCTGTAAATATGAAAAATGCCACACAAGTGCAAGTTATTTCTTTTAGCTTTGTTCTTCCATCCCTTTTTTCTGTGCAGAAGCACACAGAGTCAAACAGCATGGATGCAGACCTTTTGGTCCAACTAGTCCATGTCAAACTTAAACCCAAACTAAACTAGTCCCACCTGTCTGCTCCTGGCCCATATCCCTCCAAACGTTGCTGATTCATGTACTTATCTAGGTGTCTTTTAAATGTTGTAATTGTGCCACATCCACCACTTCCTCAGGAGTTTCATTTCATATGTGAACTACCCTTTGTGTAAAAAAAAAATGCCCCTCATGTCTTTTTCAAATCTCCCTCCTCTCACCTTAACAGTATGGCCCCTAGTCTTGAAATATTCCAGCTTAAGGAAAAGATACCCACCATTAACACTACCTATAACCCTTATGATTTTATAAACCTGTATTCTTGAAGTGGTTCTGTATATAAAGCAAACTTTAATCATTGGAACACCACTGGCCTAAATGCAAACAAGAAACTCTTCCAATCATAAGGAGTACCTTTGGGTTTTGTAATTGAAAAATTTTTCTAATACTTAGAAATTATTTAGGCAACATTTTAGGTAACTACTATACTATAATGTATTTAGTTTCTAACATAATTATACACCATATCATATCCTGAAATCAAAATTATTGACCAAGATATTTGGTTTGTTTTTAAATTTCTATCTCAGCATTTTGTATCAAGGAAGCCTGTTGTAAGATAGAACTTGTAGAATTGGAGCTACTGGAACCTTCACGTTATCTACATGATTCATCGTTGAATAAATCTATGGTTTGTATGATGATGACTAAATACTACGTATCATGGAACTATTTCAAGAACCTCTCGGATTCAATTGCTGCAAAATCCATCTTCAGGCTTTATGATACCACTGGCCAGCTTCATTTGAGTTACAGTGAAGAAGCTCTTCAGAATGTATAAATGTGAGAGGTGGCAGCTATGGCATTATCCTTAAAAAGTGCAATAACAAAGTATGGTGATCCCATGTCTCACATATCAAAACCCACATTGTGCCTCCTCCTTACCTTCTTGACAATAATGATGTAAACTTAATTGGACCTGGAGGATTAAGTTCCAAGAAACAAAACTGGAAATTAAAATGATCATTTCATCCCACAACCCTCTTGTTATGTAACTTGCTAGGTTTTGTTTTGACTGATCATGAACAGCTGATGACTGCAGCTGAATGTTGTGATTTGAACTGGCCTTACAGCAGCACAACTATCTTTGTCCAAACACAGACATGTAATTCTGCATCATAATTTGTGCTTTTGAATCACTGAAAATTCGACAGAACTTGTAGGTTCCAGCTAGCAGACATATAATTCAAATCAAAAGAATTCTGGGTGGAAATGTGGCCTATTACATTTCTCATCATCAGCTGAGAAGATAATTTGTTGAATGGACAGGTAAAAGTATGTAGCTAAAGGTGATCAAATAAACCCACAGAATATTACATAGGGATGAATAAAATCACACCAAGGCTGCTTCTATATTGCAAGGCAACTTCTAAAAATTGATGCTGCAATGTCAGTGTTGTCAAGATCAAATTACTTATTTGTTGGTTAGTTTTGACAGTTTTATCAGATCTACTTTAAAATCCGTTTGAGATACATAATTGGCCCCAGTCACAAATGCCCATTTCAAGAATCAGCACCTACTTCTGTGAAGTGTGCACTGGCGAAATGAAAGAAACTCAGCCAGCTATGGAACAAATGTATCACTTCAACAAAAACAGAAATTGCTGGCAAAACCCAGCAGGTCTGGCAGTATCTGTAGGAAGAAGGCTGAGTTAACATTCCGAGTCCAGTGACACTTCATCAGAAGTGGCAGCAGCTGGGAAAAACTGACATTGATGTTGAAGATGAGTGTATGGGAGAGGAGGAGGATAAGTGCATAGGTGGAGATGGAACCAGAGACCGAGATATTAAACGGGTAGGTAAACAAGACTACAGGGGCATGTCTGCTTTGTGCCGTAAGGATCTAACTTCTTAGTGCCTCCCATGGGCTTAACGACCGATTGATCCTTTAGCAGCCTTGCCCAGTCCACCTCAACCAAATCACTTCTAAGTTCTGTAAAATTTGCCATTCCCCAGTTACTCCTGATCTTACTCTGTCCTTTTCCACAATAATACTAAATTTAACTGAATTGTGATTGCTATCCCCAATATGGTCACCCACTCTCACTTCACGCACTTGCCCATCTTCATTTCCCAAAACTAAACCCAGAATTGCATCTCCTGTTGTTGGGCTTGTTGTGTATTGTTTAAAAAAAAAAATCCTGGACACTGTACATGAAGTTCTCATCCTCAAACACCTTTATGTTGTATGAAACCCAGGTGATATTGGAATAGTTAAGGTCTTTTAATATTACTGCCCTCTTAGGCAGTAATACAGGCAGAAATCTGTCTGCATATGTCTTACTATCTCCTTTCACAATTTGGTCCTCTGTAGTATACTCCAATAGTATGACTGCCCCTTTTTTATTCCTAAACTCAACCCTTATTTGTTAACCCATTTGATATATCATCCCTTCTCACGAATGTAATTGATTCTTTAACCAATACTGTTAAGCACCCCACTCCTTTTTCATCACCCACTCTATCCTGCCTGAAAACTCTTTACCCAAGGATATAGTGCTGCCAATTCTGTCCTTCCTTTAGCCAAGTTTTTGTTATAGCAATGACATCATGTGATGTGTGTAAATGTGCCTGTAGTTCATCTGCCTGGTCAGCAATACTCCTTGCATTGTAGTATAAACAACTCAACCCCGTCAATTTCTTTTTTCTTTGTGAGTCACTGATGACATCACTAATTAACGTTCTACCTCCCATTTCCTGATCTGAATCTAACCCATCTAAGCCCACACTTTGGTTCCCACTCCCCTGCCATGCTAGTTTAAAACCTCACCAATGGAACTAGCAAAAGCCTTCGCTCTGCCCAGGTGCAACCCATCAGGCTTGTACAGGTCCCACCTTCCTCAGAAGTGCTTCAAGAATCTATACTTGTCCCTGATACACCACTTCTCCAGCTATGCATTCATCTGATCTATCCTCTTATTCTTGCTCTCACTAGCACGTGGCACTAGGAGTAATCATGAGATTACTATGTTTGAGGTCCTGCATTTTAATTTGTCTCCTTACTTCTTATATTCAGCTTTCAGGTCCTCATCTCTTTGTTTACTTGTGTCACCCGTATGTAACATGAACACTGCTGTTCACCCTCCCGCTCCAGAATATCCTGCGGCTGCTCCATGGCATCCTTAAGCCTGGCATCAAGGAAGCAACATACCATCTTGATTCATGCCTGCAGCCCCAGAAGCATCTGTTTGTACCCCTCACTTTTGAATCCCTTGTCATTATAGCCCTGACACTCGTTTTCCTCACCTTCTGTAGAGCAGAGCCACCAATGGTGCCATGAACTTGGCTCTGCTGCTTTCCCCCAACAGGCCATCTCCCCAGCAGTATCCAAACAGATATATCTGTTTGAGAAGGGGATGACCATAGGGGACTCCTGCATTTCCTTTCTGAGCTTTTTACTTTGTCTAATGGTCACCATTCCCTTTCTGGCTGTGTAATCTTCAGCTGCGGTGTGACCGCCTCGCTAAACAAGACTGGACTTGAAACGTTAACTCTGCTTTCTTCCTACAGATGCTGCCAGACTGGCTGAGTTTTGCCATCAATTTGTTTTTGCTTCAGATCTTTAGCATCCACAGTTCTTTATTTTATTTAAGTGTATCACTTTAATTGCTTGCACTGCATTGCTGCTAAGCTTGTCTACAGTGGTAGGTTGTTAATTTTAGAACAAGAGTTTTGTGAGATAAAATTATGAAGGGATACGGAGTTACAATGGTAAATGATGTGGAACTATACATCAACTGTAATCTAACCAAATGGCAGACAGGCTGAATGGTCCACACCTGGTCCAAGGATTTCCTGGTGTGTTTCACCTCCAGTAATACAATTTCAGTTGTCTGATGGGCCGAAATCTTTGCCGTTATTGTTGATGACCATGAGCAAGAAGTCTGCTTGCTGGCACAGTGTTATTGCACAGAAGGTGTTATCTTCACCCATAAATAGTTACAAGGGTACAATGTTCAAATTGAATAAGAAACTTAAGAAACTTAAACCTACAATTGTATAGTCCTTTAATTTCTAGTTTAATTGCCTGACCAATTCATGCTCATGGATTTACTACTGTGGGAATAAAAAGCACAAGCTGCCAAAAGTATTGCTGAAAAGGTGTGTTATCACTTGCTCATTATTACAATCCCCCATTTGTACATATGCATTACCTTTTTAAGTCTGGCAAGTAAGTTGGCGACCTGTTCATGCTGTTCTGCTCTAGCAAGATCTTCTGCAGTTCTTCCATCCTATTAAACAACCAGCAATCAATCCAATTAGCTTGATTTCTGCTTAATTTCATATTTAACCTATGAAAAGTCAGTGTTGGCAACCTACACATTTCATTTTCACACTCTAGCACTAGCATATGACAGATAGCAAACTGTGTTAGCAGATGCTCAGCCAAGAGCTGCTAACAATTCACTCAGGAAGGTTTTGAAATGAACCAGATTTATTACACTGATTGCATAATAATTAGTTCCTGCTGTAACCGTATTTAAATACAACATTTCTGGATGAATGCATAACATGAGTAAATGCCTGCTAAGGGCCAAAGAGAAAAAAAAAAGCTTCATAAAACATCTAAGGATCACATTACAATTAGCAAGAATATTAGCATATTCTCCTTGAACACTAGTGATCTTAGATAAAGAGTTTTCCAGTTTTGCACATCACTTTCATTTTATTTGGTACAGCTCCAGTAATGATAATTATATGATAATACCTCAACCTATAATTTAAAAGAAATAACTTTCCCCTGTCTTGCCTGACTCATTGAATCATACATCACAGGTTAGCAGCAATTCAGCCTATTGTGCCTGCGCTGGCTCTTTCAAAGAGTTCTCATACTGCCACATTCCTTGCACTTGCCCCATGGTTCCACCAACACCTAGGTGTTTTCCCTCACTGTCCATGCATGCACTTAGTTTTATGTTGCCTCTCCTCATTTTTCCTTCCAATGTGCATCAATTCATGTTTGTCAACATTAAATTCCATTAATATTTTAGCACTCTGTCCACATCCAGTTCTATTGGGAAACAGCCCTTCAGCCCAAAAATCAAACTATCAATATAAACTGATACTCCTGGACAGAGCATCAGGTTCCTCAATTGTGGAGACACTCCCAACAAACTCTGTAATATCTCCCCTTCATTGTTCACACAACGACGTTTTCCAATAAATCAACTACTCAACCAACAGTAGCACTTAACTGTTGACCCAAGTAAATCAAATACACCTCAGGATCTATATCTGGTGCACTTTATTGAGTTGGAGATATTAAGAACTGCCGATGCTAGAATCAGAGACAACACAGCGCGGAGCTGGAGGAACACAGCAGGCCAGGCAGCATCAGAGGAACAGGCAAGTTGACGTTTCGGGTCAGGACCCTTCTTCAGAAATGGGGGAGAGGGAAGGGAGCTTGGAAATAAATAGAGAGAAAATAAATAGAGGGCTGGGGAAGGTAGGTGGGATAGTGATAGGTGAGTGCAGGTAGGCACTGGTGGGGATTGGTCAGTGAGGTGGGAGGAGCAGATGGGTGGGAGAAAAGATGGACAGGTTGTGTCTGGTCAAGGAGGCGGGGATGAGAGGGAGGGTTGGTCATGGGATGAGGCCAGGAGTGGGGAGATTTTGAAAATGGTAAAGTTCACATTGAGACCATTGGGTTGTATGCTCCTTAGGCGGAATATGAGGAGCTGCTCCTCCAGTTTCTGGATGGCGTCATTGTGACACTGGAGGTAGTCCAGGATAGATATGTCGCCCAGGGAGGGGGAGTTTGTCACGAACAGAGCGCAGGTGCTCTACAAAGCGGTCTCAGAGCCTCTGCTTGGTCTCACTGATGTAGAGGAAGCCACATCGGGAGCAGCAGATGCAGTAGACCTTGCAGTAGATTTTACTGAGTTGTGTGTTTTTTGACTGGGACTCTCTCTAGTTGTTTTAATGGACCATAACTTTTGGTCTCCAGATAGTCAAAGAATGGATGTGTCGACAGCACTTGGAAGTCCCAACGTAATGACCATATGGAAATTGCCCAGGAAGGTTAACTGCAAGTGGGAAATGATTTGACATCTGGAAACCTCTGAAAAAGTCTCCAACTCTGGATCAGAGGCAGGTAATTCAGAGGGTTCTGACTTCCTTACCTTGATAGCTACCCAGGAAATATTAAATGGGTAAAAGCTATTTCTAATAACTGGCAACTATACAACTGATCAACCCCTGCCCAATTCTCCAAATCCCTTGCACCCACCCTGACTACCTCTCACCCTCTGATTCCCCTACTCCACCCGACATGACTTAACCCTTTAACTTGATCATCACCTTGCTATTCTATCTCTTAACCACATACCTCACTCAAATTCATTCATTAACACACTGAAAAACTGTCTACATGTTTTTGTGTGTTAGTGAATGAATGAACTTACTAGAACATAGCAGCTAATGTTGTAAAGAAGTGGCGTACAGTCGGTTCTGCTGTAACATGTGTTTCTTCAAATCAAATCGGCTTTAACATGAAAGAATAATTTAGGCCACTATTTGTAGAATGCAAACTTTCCTTACCTGTGTTGGCTATAATGTGTTTCTGGCCCCATTTGTTTAAATGGCACAGCTATTGCGCAATTTTCTTATAACGCGAGGTTACACAATAGCAGAACTATCACATTATATCAGAACTGACTGTATTTGGAATCCTCCAACAATCCTACACCACAAAGGAGCACTCCCAAAATAGCTACATAAGAACTAAGAGCAAAGTAATTCAGCTCCTCTAGTGTGCTCTGCCATTCAATACGATCATGACTGATTTAATCTTGGCCTCAACTTCACTTTCCAGCCTGTTCCCCATAAACCTCCAACCTGTTACTAATTAACTCAATGTCCCAGCATCCATTGGACTCTGGGATAGTGAATTCCATAGATTCACAACCCTTTGACAGAAGTAACTTCTCCTTAAATCTGCTATCCCTTCTCCTAAAACTATGACCTCTAACTTGAGATTGACTCACAAAAGAAAACATTTTCTCTCTGTCTACTTTGTCAATCCCCCTATCTCAAAAACCTCAACCAGCATCTTGTACACCTCAATTAGATTGCCATTCCTTCTAAACTCCAGACAGTATAGGGCTAAACTGCTCAATCTCTCTTCTTTATACAAAACCCTCACCTCTGGAGTCAATCTAGTGAATCTCCTTTGAACTGCCTCCAATGCAATTATATCCCTCCTCAAGCAAGGGGACCAAAACTGTATGCAATACTCCAGGTGCAATAATAAATGTCAGAATTCCATTTGCCTTCCTTACAACCTATTGTATCTGTCAAACAGTTTTCCATGATTCATGCATGAGTATACCCAGTGTACTGCACTGAAACACTCGGAAGCTTCTCTCCATTTAGGTAATAAATTACCTTTCTGGTCTTCCAACCAAAACAGATAACCTCACAGATGTCCATTATAAACTCCTTCCACCAAATTTTGGCCCATTCACTTAACCCATCAATGCCCATATCCTTTTGTAACATTTTATTTCATACTATGATTTACTTTCCGACTTATTTTAGTGACATCTGCAAATTTGGCTATAGCACCTTCTATTTCTGCATCCAAGTCATTAATATAAATTGTAAATAGTTGGGGCCTGAGGACCGAACCTTATGGTACCCCACTACTTACATCTCGCTAATCAGAAAAAGACGCATTTATCTCAACGCTCTGATTTCCTTGGGTTAGCCAATTTTCTATCCAAGATAAATCAATTATCGCCCAACCCCATGTGATCTTACCTTTTGTATTAACCTTTTATGTGGAACCTTATCAATGGCCTTCTGGAAGTCCAGATATACAACATTTACAAGACCCCCATTATCCACTTTATTTGTTACATCTTTGAAGAACTCTAGTAAATTTGTCAAACACAATCTATCTTTCATAAAACCACACTGACTCTGATGGAATGAATTATGACTATCCAAAATGTCCTGCTATTACTTCCTTAATAATGGATTCTAACAATTTTCCAATGACATATTACACTAACCATAGTTGCCTACATTCTGTATCTCAATCTTTTTGAATAAGGGTGTCATATTAGCATTTTCCAATCCACTAGAGCCTCTCTCAAATTGGGAATTTTGGATTATTATTATTATAACCAGAGGATCCATTATCCCTTTACAATTTCCTTTAAGGCCCTAGGATGTAGGCTTTCAGGCCCTGGGAACATATTTACCTTCAATCCCAATAGTTTGCTTAATAGATTCTCCCTAGTGATGATGATGGTGTTACATTTTTTCCTTTGTCTAACCTCTGCATTACCTGTTATTACTGAGATGATACCAGTGTCTTCCACTATGAAAACTGAAGCAAAATGTTGATTTCTCGACCATTTCTGTGCTCCCAACTATTAATTCCAGTCTCATCCTCCAAAGGACCAACATTCACTTTAGCTACTAACTTCCCTTTTATAGCCTTATAGCTTTTGCTATCACTTTTATATTTTGCACAGGGTAATTTACCTTTACTCTTTTTATTACTTCTTTTTTTAAAGTAACCCTTTGTCGGTCTTGGTAACTTTCTCCATCTTCCAGCCTGTCACTGTTCTTTGCAACATGGCATGCCTTAGTTTTTACCCTTCTGTTACCTTTAGCTTCTTTGCTAAGTTGCATTTTCTTTTTAAACTCCCCTTACAATCATTCCTCCTTTTTGGAAAATACTTTAATTGGGAATTGAATATCCCCTTAAACATCTGCCACTGTTAATTAAAATTTTAGTCTTTAGCCTTCATGCCCACGCTCTACATTAATGCCTGAAATGTAGAGCTCCATCAGATAACTACAAAGAAAAGGAGTGGAGTGGCAATGAGATGGTGATCGACTCAGAGCCTCCAAGGACTGGTAATTTTTCAAACACTTACTGAAAAAGAGAGCAATCTAACATTGCAGTTCATTACAAACCTAGTTTGCCACAAGTATTTTTTTAAATTGAGAATTAAATCCCTCTGAAGTATCAAGGGGTAACAGGAACCACCAGTCAAAATCACAACATGAGCCATCATTCTTTAAAGGCAAAGATCATGCTGATTTTTTTTCTAGAATACCAAAGCTTATTATTGAGTTAACAAATTGAATTCCCATACCACCATCTTAGGGACACACATACCAAATCTGTGCATGTCACTCGTGAAATTTAATTAAGCTTCATTTCAAATGTTTTCTGTCATCAGCAATTGCTTTATTTAAAAGAAGAATCTTAACCATACATATCACAAGTTTATATTTCCATCTTTGCATTGCCCTGACCTAACATATTATTCTTGTTGGAAGCAAGAACATTAGAATGCTTTCCAACTTTCCTAGCTACATCCTTGCTCTATTTTACTTTTATTCTTTTTGCTATCCAGCCACTGGTTTTCAGCCAAATACACAAAACCAGTATCAAATAATTTTATTGAAACGGATCTAATGAGGCTCATGCTTTTCTTGTATAATTAAGATTTTAACAGCAGTATACTTTACAATATTTAAATAAAGAAAGTTTAATATTTGTTTCTTAAATTAACATCCAATACTGTAATTTTTCTAAAAATAAAGGGTAGAATTTAAATAGTGAATACATAGGAAACACAATTTTCAGAATCGGTACTGCTCACTGGAAGCCTAGTTTGCCACTTGCACAGACTTTAATTCATGGGTGACCTTCCAGGATTTTCCATTTGTTATAAATAACAAGTTAAACTCAGAGGAATGTGCCTACAATTTGACCAATACGCATGTTGAGGATTTTCACCATAGCACAAACTCAAAAAGCTGATTTTTGCTGAACATAAACTTCTGCTTTCATCGAAAGTTCCAATTCCCAAACCAAAACTTTTCCTTTTAAGAACATAACTTATATTCCAAAACACGAGTCAAGAATCAGATTTTGACAACAACAGTGTTATCAACAAGATAATTTGTGAAAGTTTTGACAGACTAAATCTCCATCGCCAAACATGCTTTGAAATTATTTTCAGGTATTAACAGATAGTAACAAAATATTTTGTAGAAGCATGGAATGTCTTCCCTTTCTGCAAATTATAAGTTGCTCTTCAACAAGCAATTAATGTCCTCGAAGCAGCAGCTAATGTCATATGCTTGTCTATGACCATGTATTACTCACCCAGCTTTCCTTACCATAATATGGTAAGAAGCAGTAGCAGGTGTAGACGATTCAGCCTATCAGTCTTGTTTCATCATTCAATAACATCATGGCTGAGTCGATTGTGGCCTTAGCTTCATATTCCTGCTGGTCCCCACCTTAACCCTTGAACATATTCCATGTCCCAGCTTCCCTGCCCTCTCGCAAAAGAGCCCCAAAGATTAATGGTTTTGGAAGACAAGATTCTTTACCATCTCAATCTTAATTGGGAGATTCCTTTTTTTTAAGCTGTGCTCCCTATTTCTAGATTGTCTTATGAGAGGAAACATCCTCTTAGCATCGAACAATGTCAAGACCTCTCAGAATTTTCTGTATTTTACTAAGGTTGGGCAAATGGCCAACCTGCTCCATCTTTCCTCATAAGCAAGTGCCATTATCTCAAGAAACAGCAGAGCAAATCTTCTCTGAACTGTTTCCAATGCAATTACAGGAAAATTCAAGTTATCCACTCTGCACATGGAATGGGTAGTGTGGTAAGTCAAAATCTGGTACATGGCAGACTTCGACAGTTAACTGTGTAATGTTCAATCATTTGACTGTTAGCAGTTAATGGACCTGAAGAGCCATGCATGGTCTTTGAAGTCAAAAGGAAGTGATGTATAAAAAGCATTAACAGCACAATTACAAACAACTAAAAACGACCAGGTGAAATTGGTTTTGCTGTCACGGAATCACTCTGGTAGCGGTTTCATCAGTAAAGCTTCTGGGTGTTGAAGTGTGCAGTCATCAGTAATATTAGTAATTCTAGTTGGTACAGTGCTGAATAATGTGGATTACAGCATATCCCTTACATAAAGAGACCAAAACTGTACACAGTTCTCTAGGTGTGGTGTCACCAATGCCCTGTACAGTTGGAGCAAGACTTCCCTACTTATATACTCCATCATCCTGGCAGTATCTGAGAGCACGTACCTAAATTTATTCAGTCCCTTTCTTGCCTTAGATGATTCTGGACTTGTTTACACATAAGCTATGCACTTCTACTCACACAGAAAATAATACTTAAATATTGCTTAAAAAAGACACATTTTGCTGAAGTTTTTTAAAATCAAATTCTCCCCCTCAGGAGGGATTCCCAAGATCAGCTCCCATAGAATCCTTATAGTGTGGAAGCAGACCATTCAGGCCCCCAAGTCCACACTGCCCTTCTGAAGAGTATCCCACCCATACCCATCCCTATCCTTCCCATAGCTAACCCAACTAGCCTGCACATACCTGGACATTCTAGCATATCCAATCCACACAACCTGCATGTCTTTGGACTGTGGGAGCACCCGGAGGAAACCCACGCAGACACAGGGAAAATGTGCAAATTCCATTCAGACAGTAACCTGAGACTGGAATTGAACCTGCATCCCTGGCGCTGTGAGGCAGCAGTGCTAACCACTGAGCCACCGTGCTGCCCATGTCTTGCATTCATCAGGACGTTTTGCAAGAATACAAATTCAAGGAAAAAGAAATATTTATATACTGCATTAGAGAACAGCGCCAAATAGTTGGCAAGTAGACTCCAATTGGTGGAGGAGATGCCTTGGAGAATGTACCCGTCAACAGTTAATAGCTAGCTTGCCATTAGCTGTTTCTCTCCCCACACGATGCCAGTCTTGCTGAGTTCCTCCAGCATGGTTGCTTTTTATTTCAGATTTCCAGCATCTGCTGTATTTGGTGTTATGTTGGAACTATACAAAAGGCCACAACTGGAGTACTGCACGCAGTTCTGATCACCCTATTATAGGAAGGATAGCAATTACATTAGAGAGGGTTGCAAAGGAGATTTACCAGGAAGCTGTCAGGGACGGAGGGTCTGAACTACAAAGAAAGATTTCGTAGGCTGGAGTTGTTTCTTTGGATCAGCAAAGTTTGAAAGGGTGGCCAACAGAGGTATACAAGATGATGAGGGGCATTGATAAAGTAGATAGAAAGGCACTTCTTCCATCAATAGAGGACTCAATAACCAGGAGGGATAAATTTAAGGTAAGTTGAAGGCTAAGAGGGGAGTCAAGAACTTCTTCAGGAGTCATATCTGACTCAGAACATTAACTCTGCTTCTCTCTCCACAGATGCTGCCAGACCTATTCACTTTGTTTTATTCCAGTATAGCCTCCTTGCTCTTATATTCTATTCCTCAGCTAATAAAGGCAAATATCCCATATGCCTTCTTAACCACTTTAGCTAACTGCCCTGCTCCCTTCAGGCATCTGTGGATATGCATATCTGCAAGTAGCTGTTCCCTGTCCAGTTGGGCCAAATTGTATCTTAGCTTAGTGAAATTTGCATTTTCCCAGAACTTTTATTCCTGGTTCATTTCTATTTTCCAAAACTATCTTAAATCTAACTGAGTTATGGTCACAGGACATAGTCAAGCAGTTTGCATTTACAGAAGAATTTGCAGCAACTGTAGGTTAAAGGAATATGACAGATGTTCACTAAAGCAACCACCATTTATTTAAACAGGTCGTCAACTTATAATTCCAATACCATTCAGTAAACTAGCAAGAATCAGACCATCTGTTGCAAGTAGCAAGATTCATCTGGGCATAAAAAATGGTGACTCTGTGCAAGTGCAGTGAGGCTAATTAATATACCACAACTCAAAAATGAATGCAAGGAAATAAAAACTTCAATAGTTTGGGTAGGAAGTGTAGCTTAAAGACCAGGTTCACGGTTGAATTATCTCGTCTTTCAGGGAGCACTACAGTTTACATCATCTCTAGCCAGACTGAAGTCTAGAACAACTGCTAAAGTTCCATTACTGTTCAATACCCAGTGATTTCAATGATGAGAAGGTTAGAATGGAGTTTGATGTCTGTGTAGCTACAACCAAGTACAATGAAAGGCCACTGAGTGAGGTATTGGAGTGCTGCTGTTGATGCACCAAAGCAATCAGTCATACCTTATCATAGACAGAAATGATGTATACATTTTAGAAAATTTGAGCATATTGTCCTGCTTTACAGAGTACATCACAAGATTCAAGTAAATTTAACTTATTAGTACAGCATTAAAATTGGTACACCACCATCTAACTATTGCTTTCACTATTTAAGAGTCCAGTTCAGATAATAAATATAAAGTCAACATGTTCAAGCATCATTCCTGATGCTTAGGTGGGATAGTTGAGAAAATGAACAGCATTGGCTAAATTACAGCTTTAAGAAAAAGGATCAATTCAGTCAACTTACTGAACTAACAGCTTCTACATTAGCACCAGCAAGGCAGAGGTGACGGACAACATCAAGACTCCCGTTGTTAGCAGCTAAATGCAAAGGTGTTCGTCCATACTGTAATCAAAAGAAAAACAGTTAAAAACAGGTAAAGCATTAATGCTTTTCTAAAAATTGTGACTTCCACTACAATCCATTTTTTTCTAAAAATAGAAAATGTTTTGTTGCTTGCTTATGCCCTACACACCACCTCTCTTTAACTTCTAGACATGTTGACCTTTAATTAGTCTCAGTGTTCTCGCATTGGGAATTGGGAGAATATAATCAATCAATCAGGGCTTACTTTGTTCATACTATTCTTACAACCTTGAATTGTATGGTACAAGCTGGCTGAGATGACCATAAATCCACCAAAACCTCGCTTACCCAGCCTTATACAGCCAGATTCAGTTTGTGGAAGGACAACGACATTTGTGGAATGAAACCCAGTCACTTCACAAGAAGTGGGAAGAAAAGAATAATGCCCAATTTTGACTTATTTCCATACATTCAGCCTTGAATATGTTAGGCTAATTAGAAATGGTGCGGGTGTGATAAAGTGATTAAGGCGGCCAACAACATTTTGAGCTTCAGAAATACTTCAGGGATACTGAATGTAGGAGTAAAGGTCTGTACAAAATATTGATTAATCACTAATTGAAATGCTGCTTTGAGTTCTGGAAGGTTTATTATGGCAAGCGCAGTTAATCCATATGGAACAAGTGCACTAGATGATACCAGAGACGACAAATTACAACATCAGGAGAAACTTGGTATTAAGACAATTTAAACAACAGTAAATAAGGCTGGGTCGAGCCAGTGTTAAGTAGTCATTAATGTAAGATTGGCATTAAGGGTGCAAGAGAGGGCCTAACAAATTTCTTTATGCAGAAAACAATGGTTTTTTAATGTCAGTGGCTGAACAACATTTCATTTTGAAAGAAAATTAAGCAAGAACTATGGAATGTGAGGTCAGTAGGAATAATTTTGGATCATAAAGAGCTAGTCGAGACATAATGGGCTGAATTACTAACTTATGTTGTAAACTTTTATGGCTCCATTACTCTTTAGAATAAAACTAATCTCTAAATCACTAAAAGCATGAAAGTATGATAATAACATCATTATCTCAGTGTTTATAACACAAAATAACTCCAGCAAACTTTAGTAGCTATTTACTACAGGAAAGTTATTCAGTGCTTTGTATACTCGGACATTAAAAGACATTGTAAAATGAAGATACACATATGACTTTTACAACAGCTCAGAAACAGCACATCCCACGCTCATGCCTATCTCGATGACTGGACACTAAAGAACTGTCAGATCATCTTGACAGTACCGAAGTAAGCCACTTAAGTCTAGCCAAAATCTTTCAATCAGTTTTAAAACTTCAATTGACTTAACTTCAATAAGTTTTTGAGAGAAAGTTCCAGATTTCCACTTTGTGTGAAGGAGTACTTTTTGACATCACCATTGAAGTGGGTTCTCATGTTAAGATACCAGACTCCTTGTTGATGACTCCCTTACCAGATTAAACAGGTTCTCCTTGTCTGTCCATCAAATCTTTATTCTCCTCTATCCAAGTGAACTCAAGTCTATGCAACCTGCGACTGATTCCTCGGATTAGGGAATTGTACAATGAGGACTGACAAGGCCAATGTTCCCTAGAATTACGATGCACATGAGGCGACTGTTAATGGTTTGCTGATATTAAAGATACACAGAGAATGGGCATTGTTAAATGACTGGGATCACATATAAATAAAGTAGGGAAAGGGTCTTGTGGTGCAAGAGTGCCCCTACCTATGGGCCAGAAGATCTAGGTTCAAATCTCAACTGTCCCAGAGGTGTATTGTAACATGCCTGGACAGGTTGATTAAAGATGTACACTGGGTTTAGGATACAGGGATCTGTAATGCTGCATTCCGGGAATACACTTACAACTAAGGAAAAGAACAGTGTCTTGTTTTATACTGGTTTCTTGTTTCAACACCATCTGTCTTGGATCCATTTAACACTGAACTAAATGAAACATGTAAAATTCCTCAGAGATCTGGCATGGCAATTGCTGGGAGGTCACTTTTCTTGCCTGAGAAGTCTGAAAGTAGAGGTTATAGTCTCAGAATAAGGGCATTTAGAAGTGAGGTAAGGAGATATTTTCTGACTCAAAAGGGTTCTGAATCGGAGGTGTTCTCTACCCTAGGTTTGTGGATGCTCAGTTTTTTTTATAATTAAGACAAAGATTTATGGAATAATAATGGGATTGAAGCATATAGGAACAGCTCAGGAACACTGAGTTGAGATAAATAATAACCACAATTGCAATCAATAGCAGATCAGGATTGAATGGTTTTCTTTTTCTCCTATTTCATTAGTTCTAACCCTCATAATTTATGATGCCATTCCAGTGGTGGGAAACATGGCAAAGTCTCTATATCACTAATATGCAGATTTTTAGCATGTAACTACCTACAAATGAGTGGGCACATTCCCCTACTAGAATCAGCCTGTAGAATATAGTAGAGTGATGATGCATCAGATTGCCTAGCTAACTCACTGTAATATTTGACAAAAGAAAAAATCAGAAGAAAAACTACTAAAATGTCATATGCCTGACGAAGGTAAAATTATTAAGCATTGTCACAATTGTGACAGTTGAAGGTTCATCAATAGGACAAAAATATCTGTATACCATTTAACAAAACTGGAGATTGTTTTAGGTTATATGAAGTTGGATAATCCAAAATTTGAAAACCTCGTAATAGAAATCAATTTAGCAACAACTTTCTTTTTTTAACATAGAACATTTTTAAATAGCCCAAGGCGTTTCATAAGCCAGATCGCAAGTAAATAAAGAATCATAAGAAGAATATCAAGATAAATGACCAAAAGCTTGGTCAAGTAGGGTCTTAAGGAGGACAGAAAATTAAAGATGAATTGAACTCAAGGGAATTCCAGAGGTTAAGACTATGGCATGAATGCAAGTGGTGGAGAAACCAAAATTGGGGATACACAGTGTCTCTATTTGGATAGATGCAGAGGTTTTTAGAGCAGCATTTGTCACAGAACAAGGCCTGGCAAATAGCTTCCAAGTTGCTGCACTCAGCATAGGGGGAACACAATACTGTTCAGGATTATAGGAGAACTGAAGTCCAACACTCTTCACCTAATGTCTAACCTGCCTCATCAAAAAATATTACCCATCCAGTGGTGGAAAGGGTTTCCCTTTACAAAAGCATTAGTCACATGAAAACTTGATTAGTACAAGGGTTTCACTTGCAAGAAGCTGTAAGATGAGGAATGCAACTGAAAATCTGATTCTAACAGCAAGGAATTATATATGTTATTACAGAAAACCTTTAATGATGGTGGTATTACCTTATTAGTTAGATCAAGGTTGCAATTTGCATCACAGAGAGCCATAACAATACCCACGTTGCCATCTTTGCAGGCTACATGTAGAGCTGAATTACCATGTCGATCTTGTACATCTATGAAACATCCTTGGCTTAACAGATACTTTACCACCTCTATCTGACATCTTCGTACTGCTAAGTGCAGAGCTGTGTGCCCATCCTGAAAAAAAATTAAATGCAAACTTACATATCTCTGTGAGAAAATACATTAGAATAGAAATTACTATTTGTTGTGCATAGTTTTCAGGTGTGAAATGGCTACAAAGTATTACAATTTAGCATTTGGATTACCTGCGTCCAATCTGTAAAAGCACTGGTCCAACAATCTCTATCTAACAATCCTACTATCTCTGGTCCAACAATCAATTTGTAAGGGCTGTTTTAAAATTACACTGGAAAGATGCCTAAAATTGACCCCTTGAATATCCACATCAGGGGACTGAAATCTGTTAGACAATCTTTTTGATAAACTCATTACCTCAAGAAGGGTAGGAGCAGTTTGAGCTTTTCAGGATTCTTCAGCATCTACTGCCCAAAGATGAATTCTTGTACCAAATGATGCAAGAGTTCTCCACTATCTAAGAGATGTTGTGTCCTGTAACTCTATTCGGGCCTAAGAATGGGCTCAGATTAATTTCACCCAATATGGAGGAGAACCTCATTATGGTAAGGCCAACTCTCTAGTTCGAACAGAATTCTCTTTTAGGAAAGGGATAGATTTATGAAAAACCCCAAAGATGGCAAACTATCCCTGTAAACCTCAGCTCTTGAGCAGTTCGCAGTTAATGGTACACTTGATTGAAGTATGAGAAACATATGATCCAGAAGTGCCCTGTGTATGGGTGCCAGATATGACAAAATCAGTCACATTACCAGCACTTTTCTTGCAAACCTCTCCATCACAATTGTGATATTAATTAACAGAGAAACATTTTATTCCATGTACCAGTTGCTAAAACCTTGGCCATTAATATTATGTAGTCAGGAGATTTTAAAGCAAAAGCAAGGTCTTGCAAACATGTCCCAACTAAGTATTTGCTTCTGAACATTGTAAAAATAAGGATTTGGAAGCAATTTCTGGCCCAAACTGCAACCAAATTATTTGCAATTAGCCTAATTATTTGTTAATTTCCGCCTTCTTAATATATTGCAGAACCTTTGTGATTGAATTCATTTTCAGCCCTTGAGACTAAAAACTATAAAGCATCCACAATCACCAAATTTTCTTCCCAATTTGCTCCATTTCTTTTTCCTGTTTAGTAACTTTCCCCTATCTTTGTTTAGGATTTCACCCTCTGATGGACAATTATTCCAAAGTCAATGCTTTGTTTCCAATCATCAGCAGCAGAAATGCTGGCAGACTTTCCGCAGCATAGCTAGATATTCTGCAACTAATTGAAGCAGTACTATTCCTGCACATGAATATCAGCACAGGCAAGAGATTACAGTTAACACTTTGTTCGTGTGAGTGAGAGATTGCTCAAACTATTTGAGCCTACTCTTCCTTTTCAACAGCAAGAATAAATCACCTAGGCTATGACTTCACCATTTCCGATGGTCAAATGTGTGCGAGTTGACCTGCACTGGATGGAAGTGAGCAATCTCATAATGGAACCTGATCATATCCTCATTCAACTTCTGTTTTGCAGGGATTGAAACCAAAAACTTTCCTGGTCTATATGGCTCACAATTATACAATTCTTTTGTATCTTAATATGCAAATGTGGAGGAATAAAAACACATTTTCAACATCACCAGAATTTGGTTCAGGATCTTTTCTTTCTTGATGCTGCAGGAAGCATTGTAAGGATGTGGTTTAATTCCTCCATTTGCAGTTCCTCCACGGAAGAATTAAACCTGTCCTTCTGGAATCCTTGTGGTTTGATGACCTGTACAATCTCACTCACTGTGAAAGTTTGAAAATCCAAATGACCATTCGACAAACCAAGACTTCTACAACTTACAAGCTGTTTCCGCTTACTTTGGAAATTGAGGCAATTAAAATCTCACGCTTGCAGTCAACACGCAACCCGATGTTTGCAGAAACGTCAAACAATATACCGCAACCAAATGTCATAAGTGTTACATTAGCATTGTCAATCTTGTGAAAATCTGGCATATGCTCACTCATTTCTTTTACTTATTTGTTCACAGAATGTAGGTGTCACTGGCTAGGGCAGAATGTATTGCCCATTTCCAACTGCCCTTGAGGAGGTAGCTGTGAGTTGCTAGTTTGAGCCACTGCAGGCCATGTGGAGTGGGTACAGCCACAGGGCTATTAGGAGGGAGTTCCAGGAATTTGACCTAGCTCACTCAGTATAAATATTTTGTGATACAAGTAGAATAGCATAATCAAAATGCACTCCTACAATGTCATTTATTCACTCTAAACTACAGGAGGTTGTCATCCAAGTACCACTGCACACAATTCCTTTTCTAATAATCTGGCTCTTGCGCCAACTTGAAAATTGCCCACGTGTTTCTTTGTGTTTACAATTCTGTTCATGGGATAAGAAGCAAACATGGATATTTGTGCATGTTTGCTAGTTTTCAACAATTCTAATTAAAAAAAGTCAGTGTAAAAGTGCTCACCTTCCTTAAAAAAAAATTTCAGCAGGAAGAAACCAGGATTGCACTTTAACAACAATCTGCAGAGAACTACTTTTCTCTCACTGAATGATATTAAGCATGGGAAATGATTCGTGCTAATGCTGCAAGCGTCAAGATCAGAGCAACATGACCAACTTTTTAATACCACTTTTGCGAGAACAAATGTATGCAATTAAGGGTGACTGTGGACACCGAAAAAGAGCATTACAATCTGCTAGCAGTCATTGCTGGCAAAGGGAATCTTTAATGGTTTTGCTGCCAAAATAATGATTATACATAACCAATATTTGAATCATATGGAGATGGCAGTATTGGACTGGGATGGACAAAGTCAGAAGTCACACGACACCAGATAATAGTCCAACAAGTTTATTCAAGTGACTTCACCTGATGAAGGAACAATGCTCCAAAAGCTTGTGATTTTAAATAAGCCTGTTGGACTATAGCCTGGTGTTGTGCGACTTCTGACAATATTCCAATCAACTTCCACCAAGATTAGCAGAAAAGTGTACAGAAAACACTTCAACCACAGAATGCATATTAAAAGTAAATCATCCAAAATAATATTACAAAGGTGAATATTCAAATATGTAATATGCTCATAACTTACTGTATCAACTTCATCAATATCTGCATTATGTTCTATTAAACATTCCACAATTTCCACATAGCCTCTTGCTGCTGCAGTCAGGAGGGGAGTCTCTCCTTCTTTATTTCTAACATGAACAGAGGAATTAGCTTCACAGAGTGCCTTCGCTACAGCATAGTAACCATGCCAAGCTGCACAGTGCAAAGGGGTCTCTTGGTCCTAGAGTATTGAAAAATAAAAAGGATTACAACTGCAAAACCTGGAATAAATTAAGCACAAAAAAAGCATCAATTGACACCAAAATTATTGAACACTTTGATGTAGGTTTTCTAATTAGTGGTGCTACTGCATGGGGTTAAGTGGACTCAGTGATGAGTATTTAGCATCACTTTCCAGCAAAATGTAGGATCTCAAATCCAAACTTTGAATGGGATTCCTGCAATACAACCAACACTCCTGACTTGGGCATGGATCACTGTACCAACTAAACAGTGACTGGAAGATGGAATAAGTTAAATGTGTAGCATAAGTTCTCCATTGGATTGAGCATTGCCAACACCCTAGTGAAAATCTGTCAAATCTTGATCAAGTTGGTAGGGATCTTCTACAATGCAATGAAACAAAGTTGTAGACAGGAGGGCGCTTACCAACTGTGAATAGAACCAAAGTTATAGTCAGACCACATCTAAATAGCAGAAGTAAGTAAATATTTTGAGTACAAAACACATGGAAAGAAATAGACTAAAGCAGCTTTGGCTGAGATCTTGCAGTCAGTGACAAAATGATAGCACGTGCTCCTGATATTGAAGCAAGCTGCTCGCAAAGATCTCGCATTGATTTGTCCTTTTCTGGCGTTATGTTTTAACCTAGTGTCAAACTAAAGGAGATCTACACGTATCTTGTAACAAAGTCGTCAAGCAAGATAACCAGTCAGTTGTATCGAAGTGTCTTCACTAACCAGAAGGTAAAATACACTAGTTATCCCAAGCATGTATTCAAATTATACAAAGTAAAATAAATTAATAGAACCTACACAAGATTAAAGATAGAAGCTAAAATATCAAACTTTTAAAAATGTATTAAAATTGTAGAATTCACCATAATTAAAGTGATTCCAGAATTCTAGGCAGATCAGCTTAAGTGGTTGAAAAGTCCTGTATCCCAAAGCATCTGTATACCATAGTGACACTGCACTGTCAAAATTCTGACTTATTTTTCAAAGAGTGGAAAGAAAATAAAAGTGCAGTAATCAAGCTGCTGAACTAGCAATTGCAATACACAAAGTTAGGTAAGGCTCAGGAATTCCAGATTCAATTCTGGCTCTCTCTTTGGTTAACGGATTGCATCCAAGACCACAGAAACAGGAAAAATTAATCACCCATAATCTCTTCGCCTTATAAATATCCAGTGGCCCTTGCTAACTTGTAAATATGTGGACATTACACAGGGGGAGAATTAGGCTTCAAAGTGATGGTCTCTACAGACAAACATCTTGTTAATAGATATCAAAGGGGCACACACAAATAAACCAATCCTGAGAAGTATTGTCCTTCAGCACCATGAACAAATTAGGAACAGTAACAACCTTCATCAAGCACCTGGGTCGGATCCACTTAGTGACAGATGGAAATCCACTGGTCGGATTATAACAGGATTGGTTATCAAAATTTTTAACTGTGCATTAATCATTGACTGTAAGGAGCTGGAACAGAAACTAATTTTGTAATATTTCTACACAATGTCTTCAATCAGTTCTTTAATATTAACAGAGTTTCATTGTTGGAAGTTTCACACAATTTCCACACTGAGAACTTTACCTGACCTCATGTTGGTAGCTGAGAAAGATAGAAGAAATTTCCAGGATGATCAGCATACTACCTTGCAGAAAATTGCCATTGCTCTTTAATCTAATCTTTTCATGTTGCATAGTACGCTCAAGTCTAAGAACATGCAAAACGAATTGTGGGTGCGGTAATTTTCCTACCAATCAAAAATATAGCACAGGACAATGCTTTCCTTAAGTGGAGTAGCAGCAAATACTGTATTGCAAAACAGAAAGATGCACATTTGCAACGGAGAGTGATCATCTCATGTTTCACAGCCCAAAAAGGGTGGTAGAAGTAGAAACCTTCATCACATTTAAACTGCCAGCCATCTGAGAAAAACAATTAGTATTCTATAGATGACAGAACTGTGACTTCAATCCTCACAAACCAATAACTATGTTAACTCTACCAGTCATTGCTACTGAAGCAACGAGATTGGGAAAGATCTCTGAAAAATGCTCAGTTAACTAATCCAGCTAAGTCAGTAGTGGAGACACAAGTCAGCCTCACTATTTCCAGTACAGTTAGACTGACTCCTAAAAACTCATTTTTTAAAGTGCTATGTAAACATCTGTTGTGAGAGTGAAAAGGCAAAATACTGCAGATGCTGAAATTTTAAACAAACACAAAATGCTGCAATGCATTGAAATTTCAGCAGGTAGGATAGCATCTGTGGAGAGAGAAATAGAGATAACATGTCAAGCACTATATGACTCTTCTTCAGAAATCTGAAGAAGAGGCATACTACACTTGACACATCAACTTTGACAACCTTCCTAGAAAAAAAAAATTCTCATCTGTCTTGAATGGGAAACCCTTAACTTTTAACTCTTATTCAATTATGTCTTTTCTTAAAAAATAAGCTGTCCAAGGTTGTACATGGTATTTCAGAAATGGTCTTGCTAATGTTCTGTACAAACTGTAGCAAAAGTTCCCTGCTTTCATTTTCTGCTCACTGTAATTAACAACAAAATTCAATTTACCTTCCAAATCCATTGTTATAGTGTACCAGGACACTCGGATCTCTCGGTACTACAGTTCTGCAATCTCTCCAAGAAAAACGTATATGAAGAATGACCATTTGGCTAAAGAATTAGAGCACTGTGGCACTCACTGAACAGTGCTCTGACAAGAATTCTTTTGAAAGAAGGAAATTAGGTAAACTAAATGAAAGGGGTACAGTCCTAAATCGTTGAATTCAAATTTATTCCTGTCTACAAAGTCATACGCATTTAATGAGTAAGGGCCATTTAAAAAAAAAGCTTCAATAATTTATCTTGTTCTAGAAATTGCTTGTAAACAGTAAACACCATTATTGTACTTTCAGAATAAAGAGACTATTTTTCAAATTTCAACTGATTACTCAGATTTAGTTCCTTAATAATCTCTTCAGACTAGAAATGATCAGAAGAGGAGACAAAATTGGATTATATTTTGAGTATTATTTTTATTCCAGTCTTATTCCATATACACCATCATCATGAATTAGCTGGTGATCCAAGATACACAAACTGAATTGTTTGTGGGCAACACTGAGGTCATAATTGCGAGTTCACTCAAATATAAACTTTCTGAAGCCGATCAAATTTTACAAGCCTTACCCGGTCTTGAAGATTTGGGTTAACACCAACATTGCAGAGGTACTGTACTACTTCCACATTACCATAGCGGGCTGCCACATGGAGGGCAGTTTCACCAGACTATAGTAAAATAGGAACAAAATTAAGATTTCAGGAATCAGTTTGGAATTGAACTATGCAATACTATTTGGAGTTATTTGATTTCCCTTAATAAAGGACCTGTTTCACAAAGGCATTTGTAGTCAGCTTTTCTGAACACAAAGTATTGAAAATTGTACTTGTACTTAGCTACTTAAAACACTAACGCAAAAGTTAAATATCTTTGGACAAGTAAAATGTTAGTATAAACAGTACTCCAGAAGCTTTTATTAAATGTAGAATATAGAAAAATCACACATCAAAAATCAAAACCAAGACTAGAAAGAAATCTAAATCGTAGGTGTGAGGATTTTAAGGAGGGGAAACACTGGCAGAAGAGCAGCAGCTGTGAATAGAAATGCTCGATGGATTCAAGAAAAAGATTCTGTAGATACCAATAGAATTAGGTCACCATCTTCAGAAAATATATTTAAGGCCTTAGAGAGGATGGAGGGGAATAATTACACAAGTGGCACCAGGGATATAAGACTTTGGTTATGGGGAGAGACTAGAAGAAGAGATTCTTCTGCTTACTTTAAGAAGAGATGTAAATGAAGAAGTGTTCAAAGTTATGAGTGGTTCTGATACAGTGAATAACAATAAAATGCTTGTATTGGCAGCAGAGTCAGTGACCAGAGGAGACAGACTTATCATAATTGATGAAAGGACCAGAAGTGATAGAAGAAAACTTGGCATGATCTGGAATGCACTGACTTAAAGGATGATGGAAATAAATTTAATAAATAATATTTGATGGAAAATTGGACAAATAGTTGAAGGGGGATATCTACAAGGTGATGGGGATAGAGAAAGAGTATAGGACTTGAAAGGGTATACTCATTGCAACCAACTGCAAAACTGTCTTAGCGGCTGCCTTATTCAGATCCTAAGAAGAATGCAGAATTTCTTTAACCATTAAGACTAATAATTTTCCGTTACCACCCAAATTGAATAAAAAGGAAATGTTCAAAGCCAATTACAATGAGGAACAATAAGGGAGAACGAGGTGCCACCTTCATATAATCCCTTAATTGTAGGAAACGTCCAAGGCACTTTACAGAGACATTAGGAAAATAACCACAAAAGCAGATATTATTAGGGAAGGGTGACTAACCATGTGGTTAAGCAGGAGTGTTTTAAGAAGACACTCAGCAGTAGGAAATAGAAGGATTATGGAAGAAATTTTAGACAACGTGAGAGCTTGCAGCTGAACACAGCGTTATCAGTAATAGGGCAAGGGAGGAGGTACACAGGAGGCTGACTCAGGAACAGAATGAATGAATAAATGGTGGTTTGCAAAGTTGGAAGAGATTAGCTTAAATGAAACGGCAAAGAAATTTAAACAGACCATTGAGAAATTTTAAACTTAAGCTGTTGGGGATGTGAGTGCTAATGTTGTGCAGCCAGGATGGGGATGATGGGCAGTTAGCCTTGCGGCAAAGAATAAAAGGAACAGAGTTTTGGACGAATTAGATTTTATGGCAGCTGGAGGATGAATGACTTGCATGAGAAATACAGGAAAGACTGAATCTGGAGATGACAAGTTCATGAACAAAGGTTTCAGCAGGGTATGTGACAGAGGTAGTAGCATGCTTGACTGAGGAGATCTTTTCTGTTAGAGATGGCACAGGGTGAAAAATATCTTGAAGTAGAACAGAACAATGATGTTAAGAAGGATCCGACTCATTTTGGGACAATGAGGGTGAGGATGATGCAGTTGATGACATGGCAGATGCCAAAATCAATGGCATAATGGTCATGGGCAGAAAAGGCTTCGGCAGTGCGGCATAGGGTGGGGTCAGAATTCCCCAGGTCACCCTCTTCATCTTGCCTAACTTCAACCTGTCTCCAATTTTATATAGACCACGTGGGGCTCTTAAGTGGTCCATTCTCACAGCTGATGGGAGTTCAGAGAGAGGGAAGAAACCTGGCAGGTCACTCTGCTCAGGCTTTGGATGGAAACCACTAAGATCTAGCCTCTACCCATGCTTTTCATTAGTTAAAACTTTACAATGAATATTTACTCAACTACCTACAAAAAAGTATTTGTTATCCAAGAGCCATTATTAAAATCTGACATTAAAATGGAGATGACACCAAAGCTGATAATTTTTCTGAAATCACATTTTATACATTTTCTACTGAATTTTATTAATTCTAAATTCTTCCAGGGAAACTGATTGAATATGCAGACTTGATGTGGTAACTGCCTCTGTAAGTAATGCTTATGCTTTCCTTTAATCCTCTTTGTGCAAGAACAGTTTCTTTTTTAAAACTCTAAGATTTGTACCTAGGTACTTGTATCTAAGATGGCATCATTAAAAGGCAGCCATTCTAAAAACTTTTCACTGTACCACTATACCTCTAAATTGTAGTACAAGTGACAATAACGGATATTCTATATTGTTCTAATTCTAGTACTTCTCACTATCAGTTCAAACAAAAATATAACTCCATCCGAATATAATCATTTTTAAATAACCTAATTCAGGAACATATTTGCTAATGTTACAAAGGATATCAATTTTAATCAAGTACTGTTGTATGAATTTTACATTTTTTGCTTACCTTATCCTGTACATTCAGTGGACATTCTTTATGGTGCAAGAATTTTAATGTTTCTGTATGGCCGTGCCGTGCTGCCCAATAAAGTGCATTTGAACCGGACTGGAAACAATTGAAAATAATTTGTGAAAAGACATCTAAAATATTTGATACACATGATATCATAGTCTACAGATAACTTTTTGAAGTGAAATTTATTGGTATCAGTTAAAAACATCTGAATTCTCAATTAATTCATAAATATTCATTAAAATATGAAAGTATAAATGGCAACTGATTTTGTATTTACTCTCGTCACAGCTTTAGGCAAATTATTTATATACAGTACCAAAAACCCATATTCCAGAATTAGATTTCTCTGTTACCTATAAACTTATATGACATGTATATATTATGCATGTTGGTTTAGTGACAACAAACACAAGAGTTTCAATAATAAGTGCTACTTTGGTAGAAGTTCCAGTACAAACCTTGTCTTGCACATTAATCTTTGCTCCCTTCTGGATGAGCAAGTCAAGAATCTGGATATTTCCACAACCAGCTGCCACCATCAGGGGAGGTGTTCCATGCTGCAGAAAATGACATAAATTTTGAGACAATCTAGGAATGTGGTGGGCAATGACAATTTAAGTCCCTTATTTTCCTTTTTTGACTAAACTGAATACCTATTGTAATATGCTTACCTTACAGCTCAAGGCCAGCTGCAGTCCTTGGACAGGTTTCCACTATGTTCCAAATTTCAGCAAGTGTCTGCAGCTCAAGAAAATTTAACTCAGTGTTGATAAACTGAAGTGTGAGCTTCAAACACATCAGGGAGGGGCACAGTTACCTGCTCTCTTTGTTCCAGGAAGCAATCACGCCCTTTCGGCTAGGGACTTCAGATCTGCTCCGTGGTCTGGAACAGTTGAAGGTGCCTGTAAGTGAGGCAGTGATGGGGACCCTGAAGTTAGCAATGGGTGAACCTCATCCCTACAACTGTTAAACTGATCTGATGTTCTGGCAGCTTGAGTGGATGACAGAAGAGATCACGAGGAGCATGAGCAAACTGCCCATATTGCTGTGGTGCAGGGGAGCATTTAAGTGGAAGGAGCAAAAAGATACGTAGTTGCAGCAGGGGTCTTGATTTTAAAATTCTCATTCTTGTTTTCAGTGGCTTGGCCCCTTCTCTTCACTGTAATGTCCTCCAACCCCACAACTCTCAGGAGATGTTTGTACTCCTCTATTTCTGGCTTCTTGTGCATTCCCAATTATAGCAGCTCTCCAATGGTGACCATGCCTTAAGTTGTCCAAGTCCCAAGCTCTGGAAAATCTTCCTACACTCCTTTACTTGGATTTCCATCTGAACACACTTAAAGCCCATCACTTTGACCAAGCTTTTGAGCATCTGAACTTGTACTTCCTTGTGTGGCTTGGTGTCATACTTTGTTTTAAAATGTCCCTGTGAAGTGCCTTATGTCACAACATTACAGTAAAGTTGCTCATAATATAAGTATGTTGTTGAAGGATTGCTGGTGGTGAACTGGAGAAAGTATAAGCAGAGAACAACCAAGGAAAGCCATCCAACCAGAAATGGCTGTTTAACTGCAATCGTTGGGATTGGAATTCTCAACTTTCCATTTTATCCATTCTGCAATTGCCTTGGCCATGGCTTGATTTTAAGAAGTCATGATTTAAAATTATTCAAGAGTAACAGTAGTCATTCAAAACGAGAAGCATTAAGAAATTACTTTTAACATAATGAAGATACTGTCTTATGCTATTTTTATACACATTGTGACAATGTTAGAAAAAGAGATGAGGGACTTGGAAAGAATCTAGTACACAGGACATCAAAAAGGTTGCATCTCTGGATTGTTCCTGATACCATGAATTAATGAGTTCAGACATAGGGGCATGGAACAGATGAATGCATAGCTGCAGAGACGAGGCAGGAAGCGTACAGACATTTCAGTCATACCTGAACAGATCTGGGACAACTGTCCTGACAAGGGATTCGCTTGTGCCATTGGGGAGTGTTTAAACTAACTAGGCAGTCAAGGAAGTAATATGAGACAGCAAAAACATGCACAAGGTATTAGGAGGGATCAGATTAAGAGGAAATGAAAAATAATCTAAATTGCACATTGATGTGAATTCACCATGTATGGTAAATAATGTGTGGGGTGAACTTTAACAGCAGACAGCCACATGAGAACATGTTACTGTAATGGAAATCTGGAAAGACAGTGAAGGAAGGAATGAATAGAGAAACAGTAGTAAAGTTAAGAAGAACACTGAAGTGCTGGGGAGAGAGGGGATACCCTTGGGAATGGACAGATATCAAGGGCAGAATCTGATTAGTGCCAAGAGGTAAAAAAGGGTACCATTGCAGGCTACCTGGGTCTATTCCAAAGGTCACCAACCAAATGGAAGAAACACAGATTAACAAATTTGCAAAGAAACTGCAGAACTTTAGCTATCCTAAAGTAGACTAGGGGTTTATGAAGTACGCTCAGGAAAATGTTCTACATCAGGAGTATTCCGGCCCGGAACAGTAGGAGGCTTTGCTGGATTTGGTTCTCAGGAATGAGGTGGTCAAGTGGACCAAGTGTTGATAGATAAATATTTAGGAGATAATTATCACAATACAATAAATAGGGTGGCTATTTAGGAAACAGCATGTAACAACCTAGAGTAAATATAATTAACTGGCATGGCCGTCTTCAAGAAGACAAGAACAGATCCAGCCTAGCAAACAGATTTAGACCCCTCTGAATGGCAAATGAATTGGAGTGCATGATTAAACAGAAAAAAAAGGGGCACATGACAGCTGTCAGGTGGGTAATACAATTCCGAACCAGGTTGAATACAGGAAGTTCAGAGTGGAAGTGTAAAACAAATAAAAGCAGTAGGGAACAAGTATGGCAGCTAACATAAAAGGGAATCCTAAAATTCTCTACATCCATATAAATAGTAAAAGGGTGATAAGAAGAGGAATGGGGCTGATAGAGACCTAAATGTGTAGAGGCACAGGGCGCAGTTGAGGTACTTAATGAGCAATGCTCAACTGTCTTTAACTGTGACGTTACTAAGAAATTGCCAAACAGGAGGTATCAAAGATATTGGATCAGCTAAAATTTCACAACAAGGAGGTATTTATAGAGACTAGTGGTACTTAAAGTAAACAAATCACTAGAAATGGATAAGATGCAACTAAGAATACAGATGGAGGCAAAGATGGCAACTGCAAAGGCAAGGACCATCTTTCAACTCACTTTAGATTCAGGGATGGTACCAGAGGCCTGGAGAATTGCGAATGTTATACAGGGGTCCCTGATTATGAATGTCCGACTTATGAATGCTCATGCTTACGAATGCGATCACATGCAAGGGTGTATTAATGTTAATTTTAAATATCTGACACGGGAAAGTTTTGTCACATCTATGAACGGCTATTTTATATTGCCCTGCATTGTGCTCTGACATGCATACAGATTGATGGGCACCTGGATTCAAGATGGAACCCATTCACAATTGCAGTTTTTTGTTTTAAACAAGCAATAAATGTTCTTGAATTCTTACAAACAACTTTTCACAGTCTGACAGACAATGACAGCATGATAAAAATCAAAGCAGGGTGACTAAGAATACGGACTTGTGCCCACCAGTTCCTGCAATGAGTTCCAAAGTACTCAAATTTATTGACCTCAGAAATCCAAATGTTTCCTGGTGATGAAGTTTGTGGGGAGGATTAAAACAGACTAATTTTATTAGTGATAGCAGGAACTGCAGATGCTGGAGAATCTGAGATAACAAGGTGTAGGACTGGATGAACACAGCAGGCCAAGCAGCATCAGAGGAGC